TCATCAAGTGCCTAATCTGCGAAAAGCATTTTTGTGGTTCTGCAAGAACTTGTAGTGAGGTTCCAGATAATCAGACCAGTCGATCAGTGTTTTTTAGGTTTATAATCCAATTTATAACGTTCTCAAAGGACAATCCGGCGTAAATATATCATACTGATAAGTACTGTATCAAATGGAATTTATTGTGCTTTGCATTAAATAAGCTTAAGTAATGTGTACAGTATTGTTTAGGTAATACTGTGCTTTAAACTTGTGTACACAGTAGTCTATTTGTGCATTTTAAGTTGACCTTGCTTGGTTTCTAACATTTTTCTGCAGTAAGCGAATGGAAACACTAAAACACACGTGAACAACCCCCAAAAACACACTGTTACGAAAAGAGTGTGCAAAAATAAGCTACCGTATTATTATTATTATTATGATTATGATTATGATTATTATTATTGCCGTCAGGTGTTTGTAAGCGCCGGTCTGCTGCACAGCTCTGAGAGATGTGGTGAAGCACCGCTGAGGAGCAGCCAGAGGAGTGTGTCTTAGGGAAGCTGGCAGCCTCTTTAAAACTTGCATTGGCTGAAGAACACGATATGATGATGATGGATGAAAAGGAAATAGAAAAATACATTTCTCAGCTGGTGGGAGGGGGGGGGAAAGCCTGTTTATTTTGAAATAAACCCCATTTCAAATCACAAACATGTCACCCCCCCTCCCCCACCAACTGGCCCCATTCCCAGCGGACGTGCTTTACAGTGGCAGTGTTTCTTCCGGGCCCCCGCGGAGTGGTGCCCCCTGTGGGCTGGGCGGGGGGCGGGGCATGGTTGGACTGGGGGCGTGGCTGAGCCGGGATGGGGGCGGGGCTTAACTGGGCTAGGCGGGGCTGAGCCAGGCTGGGGGCGGGGCTGGGCTGCCCAGTGTGCAGTGGCCCGTCAGGCTGAAGCAGTCTCGGGGCTGTAACCGGAGAGGCTGCGCGACAAAGATGAGCCTGACAGCTGCGCGGTTACCGGAGAGCCCCTCTTGTTTCTGCACTTTTGTTCCTCCTTGAATATCCACCATCCCTGTGTGGAAGGAGGCGCTTCCATTAGAGTTTACAGCTCCGGCGTCCTGCGCTCCTGGCCTTGCGGGGGTCGGATTAGGTTAGTGCATTATGGGCGTGCTGCCATAAACTGTGTCATGTACAGTATATAAGGGCGCCCTGACGGTGATCGGTCTTGTCCTGCCTTCCTGGGTGGTAGCTTATGCACATTTCCCTGTTACCCATCCGCCTGCAGGGCTTTGCTGTCTCCCCTTGAACCTTTCTCCCTGCTCCCCGTCATTAATCGGCCTCGAGAGTTCGAGCTGTACGCGCGTCGTCGCCCTGCCCGTGGGTCCCTCTTAAGAGATAATTGCACAGTGGGTTGAAATCAGATCTGAATTCTTAACACCTCCTTTCCTAAAGGATTTTCGGGGGGGGGGACCTAGGCGTGCGCTGGTGTGAGGGGAGCAGGACTGGGGGTGCCGGGGGTCTGCGGGCCTGGCCCTGGGGTGCACCGGTGTGGGCGCAGGCTTGGCAGCGCGAGCAAGCCAGGGAGCCGGCCTTGGTGCGAGATCAAAGAGCCGCGGGCCAGAGAGGACCGCTCCAGCCAGCTTGGTCCCCTGTCGCAATGCTAATGCTCCACGTCTGGCAGGCTCTCCGGTGAGCCTTCCCTGTCTTGGCAGCTGAGAAGGTTTGAGTTGTGTGCTTTGTTTTTGTTTTTTTTGCGTGTGTGTCTGTGCAAGTGACTTTTTTTTTTTTTAATGAGGATGGGCTCCAAGTGTTGGCAGACCAGTAACACCCCCCCAGTTTCTTAACTCTAGTTTCTCACATTCAAAGACGGGGGCTCATCTGGCAACCCCAGCACGAATTGCTGTGGCATTGAATTTGTTTTTACATTTTGAAAGTTTTTTTTTTCGGAAAAGCATCCCTTAACATTCAAACTGGTATCACAGGGTGTAGGACAAGATCTACTGGTCCTTCTGGGGTTCGCCGGCTGCTAGGTTGTACAAGAGACCTCTCAGGCTCAGAAGCCTGTTACTGTCCAGTGCTTCAGATTTTGAATCAGGGCTTGGAAAAGCAGAGGAGGATATGGGGGAAGGGGATTTCTCGACGGGAAAGCATGGATCTGTAGCTGGAAAGAAAGGCGGTGGGGCTTTTTTCTTCTCCGTCTTTGCAGTGTGCCACTGCTGGCTCAAGAGATTTCCTGATGTAATCTGCCTTCGGTCACATGCCGGAGGCTGGGAGGATGTGATGCCCAGAGCAGCACGCGGTTTGCTGGCTGGCACAGACTCGCTCAGACCTCCCACTGCTGGGCGTTCTTGGCTGAGGCCTGCACAGACTTCAGTCGCTAACCTTACGATGTCTATATGTAAGGTCACAGCAAATAGCAGTCACACCCCCTGCCTCATGCACAGTAATTCAATCTCAGCGAATGTTCTGATTCACAAATGCTGAACCAAACACAGGGTTTCGTTTTGCAGTGCATTTTTCAAGGGAAAGATTGGTTACGACGATTTAATAGTCAAGTAGTTTAATCCCCAAATTGTTTTTTTTTCCGGCCTGGGGGCAAAAAAGGTTGTTTTTTTTCCCCGCGGAGCGAGGAAGAAGAGTCTGGTGGCGTTATTTTCGAAAGGACAGTGAAGCTAGCCTCATTTGTGAAAAATGAATTCGCTATTTTGCATTGCAGTCTAAAGATCTACACGCCGTTCAGTAAATCTGTGGAAGAATGCATGAGTATCACAATTTACAACCAATACACATAAAATATAGATACACAATACAAAGATTTGTAATACTAAGAGCATGTGAATAAAAAATGACCCTTCCAAGTTCTCTTTAACTCGGTGTGTGATGTGTGTAAAATCGTAAACTTAATCATATTATCTTACTAGCTGATTGAGATAATAGATCATGGATAATATCAGCACTGAAATGTAAAACTGCATATTTCTGTTTCTGTTAAAACTTCAACATGTGAGATTCCATATATATATATTCCATGTATCAGTTTCTTAAGAGATCCCTCAGAGATGCGACTAGGTAGCTGGTTCCACACTCCTACAGTCCTCTGTGTCAGGAAGTGTCTCCTGTTTTGCATGCCCCTTAACTTAATTTCCCTTTGTGTCATTATGTTCTTGTGTTACTGCTGATGTTGGATAAGGCCTTTGATTTGATCAGTGTCTTTCAGGATTTTGAATACCCGAATCACATCTTCCCATCATTATCTCTGTCTCAGGCTAAAAGGATCCAGTTCCCTTTGTCTACCCAAACACAACCTCCCCATCAGACCCGGATACGGGCTGGTTGTTCTCTGTTTGTGTTGCCTCTAGAGCAGGAATGTTTTTCTTGTAGTGTGGTGACCAGATCACAATATTACAAGTTAGCTCTGACTAATGCATTGTGTAGTTTTTCCATGACTTTCTGTAAATTTTAGTGGTGTATCAGAACGTTTTGTTGGCATTTTTGATTGCCTCCCCACCCTGTCTAGCTGAAGAGTAGAAACAAACTGCTATGCTTTGCTTCTTCTGTATCAGTGCTACCTGTTTAATTTTCAGTGCTTCCTACACATAATACCTTGCTTTGTCCTTCTCAGAAGTTGCCAGGAGATGACCCAGTCCTGAACTTGTCCATGTTCTCTTGAATTGCTTTTGCTGTTGTGGTGCTATTTGCAGCTCTTCCTTTTTTGTATTTTCTGCACATCTGACCATTGTACCAGCTATATACAGTGTTGAGATCATTGACATCAATGAAAAGGAGCATTGGTCCTAAAACTGACCCTTGAGGTACCCCAATAATATCCTCACTCCAGTCTCCTCTGCCGAGTGCTTTCAAATCAGTCCTATACCCATGTGAACACATTTCTTTGAACATAAGAAAGACTGCAGACAGGAAGAGGCTTTTTGGTCAGTCTGGCCTGTTTGGTAGTTAGAAGCTAATTGATCTGATGCAAGGATTTAGAGATTGGAATCCTAGATCATTAAGAACTATATTTCACACCAATCCTTACCCTCTAAAGTTGTCTGAAGCAGTCTTCTGTTGCCCATAGAAATATATAGTTAACGTTCGACATGTAATGTGTGGACTGTAGTTCGGGTGATGTGTTTGGCTGAAGTTCACCACCTTTTAGCACTGCGTCCTCGGATACGCTGAAATCGTGGCGATCAGAGTGGGATTGTCTTTTCACCTGCGGCGTGTCGTCATGTCCCTCGAGCCCGCGTGCAAAGTCATTAGTTAGAACCTCAGTCAACCCTCTTCTCCCTTTATGTAACAGACCCCACCTGCATCCCCGAGGTCCTGCACTTCCTCCCTTCTGAACCCCCTTGTTACTGAGCAATTGAACAAAGCCCTGGCCACTCGTTCTGGCTCCGGTAGCTGTGTTATTCCTGCTGCTCCCGGTGTTGGAGCACAGGACAAAGGCCGCACTCGTCTGAGGCTGCAGGGCTGTGAGGGGTTAACTCCAGCAGCAGTGTTTGCAGGGATACAGGGATGCCGACTGGTTGTTAGTGTGGTTTCTCACAGTTAATGACCTGGGCAGCGCTGCTGGGGTTAATGAGTTAGAGCCTGTCGGCTTGGGTTCGGCTTGGGGTCTGCCGCAGCGTCGGCGGTCCGGGATGATTAGTGGTCATCTCGTGGCCCCCAGAGGGTCAGCGCGCAAGCCGCGGCCCGGCTGTCAGGCAGCGCTGCGGTCTGGCCGCTGGCGTGGCGCAGCCGCGGGGCCGGGGCCGGGGCGGGGCGGGCAGACGCCCCCACCTAATTAACGCGAGCGCTCCTCGGACCTGCTGTCGAGGGTGCCCGCGAGGGGGGTGACTTCAGGACAGGAGACGCTGAGGTCTGCAATTTCAGTTAATGGGATTTCAACAAGTGTAAAAGAAGCCTCCGTTTGGCTCGGCTGCCGTTTGTGAGCGGCCCTCACTCTTCCCACTGCCCCCCGTCGCACTGAAGCTGCTGTAGTCGCTGTCCTTTTCACTTTCTGACCACCAGAGTGGTTACATTTACATTTACAGAAACGTGACATTGTACCATCAGCATCAATTTCCTGGAGGTGGCCCAGTTATTTTTATTAACTTGTTTAGGTTCTTATAGACTGCGTGCTTTGAACTGGGGGGTGCCAAACAAAGCAAGCGGTTTGGTCTTATCAGTCTGATTTTTTTCTTTTTAAACTGTCTTTGTTTTGGGAATTTTTCTGTCGGTCTCTGTTGAGCACTTGTGAGGAACCTGTATCTTACAGATGGAACAAAGCAGTGTGATCTCGTGAGCTCCGGTGACGGGCGGGGAAGGTTATTAAGCTGTCGTGGCGATTGGTGCCGCACTGAGCTAGTTCAGTCATTCAGGTGAGGTGGTTGAGCTGTCCTGCCTCTGCCTGTTTCACCATCTCCTCCTGCCACGCGGCAGAACTCATCAGGCTCTCTTACGGTTGCCGCTTCAAGCAAAAGAGGGGGAAAAAAAAACCCTTTCCATGTTTTGCAAATCGCGATCTTTGGTTTTTTTTTCCTTTCCCTCCAGTGACATGTATTTCCTCTCATCTGAAGAGACAGTCTTACCGTTCCCTCGTCTGCAGCTTGTGTAAAGCACCGTTTGTGCGCCAGTTCAAGGAGGATGAGTGCACGTTATTTGGACAAAGATTTGTTTTCCTCAATTAAGACACTTCCTTGCTTATGCAGTAATCCTGCCATGTCTGTGAGCTCGTTTGCTGGATTAGAGGGGATAATTTCCGTGGTACACAGGTACGCTTGTGTGCCTCTTTTTTTAAAGGCATATGGGAACCTCGCTGAGACATCAGTGGTTTGCAGTCTTCAGAATCTACCTGGAAGCCGGAAACTGCTCGCAGTAGTGGCAGTCGATTAAGATTTAAGAGGGAGTGCAGCATGCTAGAGGCCTGCGACAATACAGCCCCCCTCCGCAGGAAGTGTTTTTCTTACTTAGAAAAGTAAGCGTGAGGCAGAGGACTGATGGCAAAGTGCGTTAAAAAAGATGACTTCAACACCTTTTGCTGGTACTCATTAGAGAACCTTATGTTTCCAGTCACAAGAAACCTGGTCTCTGTTTCGCCCAGCGGTGCTGTGTTGTTCAGAATTGTGTGAAAACCTCATTATCAACCTGGGCGGCCTGTCTCTGCTCCGCCTCTCCTCACACTCATCCTTCCCCTTGAATCTCTCTCCATTGTGCTCAGTTTACAAGTGACATTTGGAAACGCAGAGCTGGCCTGATCACACACAGCTGCCTGGCTAGCTCTGGGGTCTCCAGGGGCAGGTGGGGGTCAAGGTAGGGGGCAGTGCTGTAGCAGTGAGTATTAAGTGACCCCTTCAAGCTCCCAGCTCACTGCAGTGTCTCTCCTTCAGCACCGCTGGGCTCGTGTGGGCTGTTCGGCAGTGTTGCTAAGAAATGTCATTGTGCCCTGATGAAAAAGACTCAATTCCACCCATCGAGCAGGACAACAGGAACGTCCCCGCGGGCCCGCCAGGGTGGAGTGAGGGCAACTTGAGAGACGAGATCTAGCCTTTCCGAGCAGGCAGTGAAGCATCTTCATTCTGCGGCTCAGTCTGAGCTAAAGAGCCTGTAACCTGGCTTGGAAAACGCAGCCTGTTACGATCGCACAAACCTACACCTGCAGGGTCCGTGGCGAAGCAGCGCCCTGTTCTGGTTTGTGTTGAACATCCGGCTTGTGCCCAGCCGGCTGCGCCGGGCTGCAGGTTCCTCTGAAGGGGCCGGGGAGCACGGCGGGTTGCTGGGGCACCAGGGCTGGAGAACAGCGCGCCTACACCTCCTGCCCCACAGGAGTGCTCACGCTGGTGCCCCGGAGGGGGAGGTGGGGGGGCTGTGCCCACTCCCCCCCGTCAGGTGAGACTTCATTACAGGTGTCTGCGGTGGCGGCCCCCTGCTGCGGCCGTCCTGACAGACACCTCCTAATGAGGTGGTTACAGAGCGAGCCCCCCGGCTTCAGCCACCATGGACACCGGCCTCCCCCCCCCGTACATACAGACCATGCAAGACCAGCCTCTGTACGGAGAGCATGGAAAACACAGGGCTGGCGTCTCCCGTGCATCCTGTCTTATTTATGAGCCCCCCCTTCCCTTGTCTTCTGCCCTGAAACATCCGTTGGACTCCCAGCTGGGTCAGCGGGGTCACGCAAGGGGACGCAGGTGCCGGGAAGCTCCTGCCTCCTGCCTCCTTGCGTGTGCCGTAGTGGAAGTGCAGTGGGCCAGCCATTAAGTATAGAGCAGTGTCGAAGAAAATGCATGCTTTATTTTTTATTTATAAGTATCCCCCACACACACACACACACACACACACACACACACACACACACACCCACACAAGAAGGCTTCGCACTGATCGCGATTCACCCGGTGCACCTGGGTCGCCCCTGCAGCGTGGGAGGTACATGGGAGGGTCTTTCGCTCGGTCATCCAGCTCGGAGGACTGGATAACGGAGAAGCAGGCAGAGGCGAGAGGAGAGGATTCCCTGTGGCCAGCCAGCGTTAAAAAGCCCTGTCCGCCCCCCAGCAGGGGACAATGTCAGACAGGCCGGGAGCAATTACCTAATCAATACGTCCTGGTGCTGCCTGGGAGCCGGGCGGCCATGCTGTGGCAGGGGCAGGGGACTGTATCCCAGCCTCTCCCAGCCAACAGGGGCCCCCCGGAGCGGCGCGGAGTCACTGCAGTGACCGTCGGCACCTGCGAGTTGCCTGCAGAGGCTTGCCCTCGGGGACGGATGAGCACAGAAGCCGAAGCTTCCTCTGGGCAGAGGCGGTGTGGGTCTCCATGACTCCCGGTCTCCAGGCAGACCGCAGCACCAGGACGTATTGATTAGGTAATTGCTCCCGGCCTGTCTGACATTGTCCCCCGCTGGGGGGGACATGGCTTTTTAATGCGGCCTGGCCAAAGGGAATCCTTTCACAAGACCCTCTTGTCTCCGCTTTGTTCTCTCCGTGATTCGCCCCCCTCTCTCTCCTCGCCTGTGTTCTCTGTGAAGTCCTGTTGTCGTGGGAATTGGGCCCTTATTAGAAGGCAGCAGAACATGACCTTTTATAGAGAAGATGTAAAGTGTGCTTTAACGCAGTGTTAAGCTCCTAGCAAAAGTTTCCTTGAACTCCACCCTAGTTCCACATGGCCTGAATCCGTTTGGTGACGGAGGTCAGATTTATTCCCGGAATTCCTGGATCTGTCAGCAGGTTTAGCACATGTGACTGTGGCTGAAGTGGAGTTTGCAATCATCTCTTGTTCGTTTGCTCTGCGTGTTCAAGATCGAGGTTCTTGAGTGCGTGACTCTGTCCTGTCGAATGATCTGTGTATTCCAGAACCCCCCAAAAGCTGAGCGGTAAGGAGCGCATGGCGAACTTGCTCCGATCCGAGTACTCCAGCGGAATGGACACAGTGGATCCCAAGAAGAAGACAAAGATTCACAAAAAGGCCGGAAAACTGAGACTTCAGAATCAGCCGGCATAACCTAAGGACATCAGCCTTAACCTACTGTAGGTATTTTATTGCTACAGATTCACAAAATACTTTCCAGAACCATAGAGCAGAGCTGGGCTGTGGAAATTAGATCCTAAATATTCTGTGTAAGACCTGTGTAGCATTCACAGGACTGGAACTCAGGATGTGCATTTTGTGAGAGTTAATTTATTCGTCAGACCAGACAAAGTATTTATCATCATTGCAAGCCTAATTAATTTTCATTGCTGTACTCCCAGACAAATGTAACTGTGGCACAGTTAGCCATTCCTGTAGCTACAGTGTTACGTGTCATTTAGTAGATGTTTTTTTTCCCCACAGTGGAGTTTTTGCAGTGGGTTGCTTACCTGAAGGATACAACATTGACTAAACATTAGTGGTTTTTTTATTCCTGCAAAGACTCCAATTAGAGGCTGGTCATTAAATTGCACAAAAATACACAAATGCTTCTTTTTTATTTCATTTTCTACTGTAAAACAGACAAGGATGATAATTGAAGGTAAGTTGCTGGCCAGCTGCCAGAATAAATAATGTAATGATGGAGTGGCAGGATTCTTAATTGCTAAAATAACTGGGAATAATTGTAGCTCAGAAAACTGGTTTCTTTTTTGCAGTTTGCAAATTTTGCATCAGCATGGACTTTTGGTAAACTTACACTTGTTTAAAAAGTGACGAGGTCACGAGCAAAGTTCCATCACCTTACCCTGATGCATGTCCAGGGAAAAGAAAGAAATTAAAAACTGTTTTGTGTAAAACCTTGTCATCCGGAGATTAATAGAATGTGAAATGGACAGGCACATTGCATCTAAAGAACTCAGATTTTGCCTTGTAATTTTAATAAAGCGAGCATATCTACAGCCTACGTGATATGCATGCCGGTTCACGATGAATATGTAGATCTCTTCAGCTGGTGTCAGTACTTCCTGGGGCACAGGCAGTTATTTATGCTTCAAATAGTGGGTGGCAACATTACCTTGTGTTCCTGGTAAAATGTATCTGTGGCTGTACCAAATGCTTGCTTTTTTTCCTAAATCCAAGTGAAACTTGGACACAGAAATTAGAAAGAACAATTGTACCCCACAAGGAGGTGTGGCAAGCTCAGTGTACGCTACATTTAATGGAAGACATGTTCTTGCTGTGTCATGTCATGTAGCAACTGGATAAGGCAAAATATAATGACTAATATACAGTGCAGCTCATTACAAACTTCTTTTTAGTTTTTCCAAAACAAAATAACATGGAAGCCCCTCATGTTTCCAACCAAAGGACCCCTAAGAGTCGGATCTTTCTTTAGGATATACAATATTGATCTGAAATCATATGATTTTACAGACTATGTTCTCGGTGTTTGGTATTTGAGGTATAATTGGCAATATGAGTGAAAACTCAGTATAAATACAAAACTGTTTTATTTTAATTTATGCAACAACAGTGGGTGATACAGCTCTACCGTTAGTCCAGCGGTTTGCACGTGGCACTGGCAGCAGCCTGAGAGCTTCTGGAGGAGCGGAGGAGCGTTGTATTTGTGTTATTCACGTTGACTGTTCTTTGACAGACCTGGCAGAAGACAGCAAGTGAGGATACAGCTCTCTGAGATGTCGAGCTTCATGCCGGCTGACCGTTGTGTTGCTCAAGCCGATCAGTGGGTCAGCAGTGACGCGATGGTGTGGAGAGAAGTATCCTTTAGCAGAAGAGTCAGTGCGACCTTCCCGCGGTGATCCGTCGACAGTTCTTGAGCTAAAGGTTTAAATTTCCTGCAAGCCAACCCAGAAGCTGATTTTCCAGTATGACAATGCAAGACCCCAAAGTGCTAAGTGGCACAACGTAGAAGAAGCAACAACGATGAGGTCTTGACAGCCTGCTTTTTCTCCTGGCCTGTGACCACTAAGGACTCCTCCGGGACTTATTGCCATCAACAAGAGCCAACTGAGCAACTTTCACCCACTGTCTGCAGCTGCACAGGGAGAGTGGCAGAACACGCCACAGCCGTCTACCCAGAGGCTGATCAGGTGCGGACGTCAGCACTGCCAGGATTGTGTTGATGAGCAGGAGGGAGGTCAAGCTGACTTTGTTTTCACATTGACAGTGTCACACAGCTTGTACTGTAAACACATTCTGGTTCTTTAGTCTGTCTTCTGCCCAGTTTTCTGTATTTTGGGTTAAGATCTATCTAGAAGAATTGATTACATCCATTAGACCTGAATGTAGTGGCTTTGTAAATCTGTACATGTACAGAGTTTACTTGAAATAGGTTTGTGGCATTTCAACTTTATATTTGAAATATGTTTTGTAAGATTCATTTGTAGAGCATTTAAAAACGTTTTACTAGTTTTTAATATATTTTGTTGTATTTTCCATAATGCAAAAGCCTTAAGTAAAATAACTGTACATCAGAACACACTTCAGTTGTCAATCCCTTCCTTTACTCTTGCTTACAAAGTGATGTACACTAGACAGGAAGAGAATATTCCTGCTGTAGGTTAGTTGAACTTACAGTCAATGTGTTTACACATGCACACTGCTCCTCTGTTGTGCCTTCTGCAATGTATCGATAAAAAGGAAGTTGTGGTCTCTGAGTCGGGAAACAAGTATGAACGTTACTATATAGCCCTACAAGTCACAGCTGCCAGTGGAGATGGTGCACTGGATCAGAACCGAAGGAGAGAAAATGGGCACACAAGACCCAGCTCACGGGTTTGGAGGTACTGGAGCCAAGCCTGTCAGGGCAGAAACTGTGCACAGCACACAGCCGGCTGAGACCCACTGCTGTTCCGGTTTCTTTTAATAATGCAGGTAGGAGTCAGTTTCTTCTTGTTTTTTAGTAAATTCGGTCATCCTTGATGCGAAAGAAAATCACTGCGTTAAAGGGGAACCGCAGCACTATTTTTAATTTCGGGGTTAGAAAGAATCAGCATTGATGAGGGCATTTCGAACCACAATATAAGTAAAATGTGCACCGTAGCGTGTAAAACCTCTCATTTACATTACAAAATAAACCTCAGTTTCCAGGTCTGTGCAGGGCCATGTTCTGCGATTCAGAAGACGGCAACAAAACATCTGGTGACTTGAAGTGGCCCTGTGACATGGTAAACGAGCAGGCGTGTGAATACATCTCTTCTTTTACTCCAGTAGAAATATTGCTCTTGACTTTGAGACGGTTTTGCCGACAAATGCTGCTTACTTGTTAACTCTGCGTGGAACATTTCTGAGGTGAAATGTCTGCTGCAAAACCTGCACTTAAGTCACTCGTGCGGCACATTACATCAGTCGTTACTGAGACTAGTGAGCAGGAAGGGCTGCATCACGTCGCAATTCCTGGACACACTCGCTCTCGCCTGTACAGAGACCAGGGGTTTGCAGCAACATGGTGACTTATAGTACTTTCACAAAGGTCACGGTTTTTGTGCTTAATTAGAAAATAGTAGCATTTCGTCTATAACGTCAATATATTTATAAGCAATTTAATAACCTGTCTGAAAAATCGGGATGCTGTTACACTTTAGCCAAAGCTGACCTGTGGCATACTCTCCTTTTTCAATGGTACTGGGGAGAGAGATTAAGAATTTTGAGTCATGTACTGAACACGTTAGACCAGGCTCACTGTGATTCACTAATGGAAATACTGGATCTGTGCTTGGGCACGAACCTGAGGATGGTTTCACTCAGAAATGCCTCTGAGAGACCTGTTTGTAGTTACCTGGCACCTGGGACAGGGGGTTGTTTCAGTTTTCCAGCTGTGCTCTTTGGGCCTGTCCCAGAGTGCAATGCTGTGCCTCCAGTACTCACCCCTGACATGGGACAGTGAGCCCAGGCCCTCGTCACAGCTGCGACAGCCTGCTTCCACACTGAATTCATCCACTGGAGGTGTAGTGGAAGAAGTCTGAACTTAAACCAGACCTAGAGTTTACTTTAGAAGGGACATTTCATCTCTGTCCGTCACCTTCCCGATACTTTGCGGTATATCCATCGGAGTTTATTCCTAGCGCGAGCTGTGTGACACCTCGTCCTGGTTGAACACTCTGTCCTTTGTCATGCCCCCCCACCTCCCCACGTCCCCCAGTCCTGCTCCCAAGATAAATCTCTGCTGGGAAATTCCTTCATTATCCCGCCCTGCGCTGCCTTATGTTGAGTGAGTTTCTGGTGCCAGGCAAGGCAGATGCGAGGCTGGGAAGGGTGACATGATTCTGCACGTCCTGCCACTGGCTGCTTTGATGGAGGCTGTCTCCTCACACCGGCTGTGAGGCGCAGACTGCTGGAGCAGCTGCATGAACCAGCATCTGGCTGATACCTTCAGCGACCTGACCCCCGATCTTAATCCTGCTAAAAACAGTCACCTGTGGGCACAACCCGTGAATAATTCCAGACGCGTCAGGGCTGCCCTCGAACCTGTGATCAGAGGTTTCACATCACCTTTTAACCTGTGACGAACAGAAGAAAAGACTGGCACCACGGCGAGACTGAAGGACATGATGCACAGGCGTTCAAATTTCTAGCATTTCCAGAGTTAAAGAACTCTCCTGTTGCAGGTGTGTTTCACGCATCCTGTTAGTCTCCGTTTCAAGCGCGTTATTTTTCTTCATTTCGCGAAATTTTTGGTTCATGTGACCAGTGAGTACGGCGCTTTGAAAAAAACAACTATTTAAAAGTCGTGAGACTTAGTGTTTTATTTTTTTTACCCTATCAGAAGTTGTAAAATAAATCACGATTTGCCGATTTAATGCCATTTTTCTCAGGGGCGCCTAAAAATTTGGACGTGATCCAAGGCGTACTTAGGCTGACTTTCACCAAAAAAATAAAAATCGGGTCTTTTTTAATTATACGAGATCAAAACACACCGCGTTCATGTCCTACCCCTACTGCCTGTGAATGAACATCCCCAAAATCTCACACAGATACACTCGCCCACACCACAATGCAAATTGCTCTTTGATTGACTCCTAATTTGATTTGAAGGCTGTTTTGTTTGGTTTTATTCTGAGTCAATGAGATTAATTTAAGTCACTGATCCTCTGGGTTTAAATCTCCCCATGTTGTGGTTTTGTTTGCCGGGAGCTCAGCGAGACTCTATCCGCACTTCATTAACCCTGAGCCGGGAACAATCTTCAGTAAGTGCCGGGGGATTTAACAGCGGCTTTTCACATGCAAAAATCTCCGCACCTTCCAACAAGAAAGGGGATCATCAGACTTAATCAGCTGCTGCGCATTTCGCAAGAATAACCCTTTTCATTAATATCAAGAGGCTATCATCATCTTCGTCTGAGTCTAAACCTAGAGCCTCGCCATACGTCCCAGCACGTCTAATTGCTCGATTTTTTAAAAAGAAAAACCTGAAATTTTAGCGGCCTTCCAACAAATCTTCCGGGGCAGGGATATTTAAATGTTGACGCGTATAGTTTACACCGATTCATATTTACGTGCAGGTAACTATTTTCGTCGACAGTCAGGTCTTATTCCCGACATCGTCCGGCCTGCGTTCGGGATTGTCATTCTGGGATGCCACGACGGGAATGCCGGCTAACTGCAGACGCGTTTTATTTTTATTTTAAGTCGCAAGCTCTTTGAAGACGACCCATAATTTCGCGTGGTGCCCCGGCTGGATCCTCGCTGTACCGGGGAGAGCGCACAGGCGCGAACACCAGGTGTTACGCGAAGGATGCGGCGTCAGGGTCAGGGTGATCATCTCCCATTTATCGACTTCCAATTAAAAGCCATTAAAGTCTTTTGTCTAACGTTAGAAACCCCCCCCCGTCAGCCCGAACTCCCCGAGCCCCAGGTAGAAAGAGCAGATATTTCGGCGAGTTTAGCCAGGCCGGGCAGCGGAGGGAGGAGGCGAGTTCGCCCGCCCCGCTGACCAGCTGTCCCCTCCGCTGATCCGGGCCGCAGTCAGACTCGCTCGGTCACCAGCTGTTGGAGGCGCTTGGCGGAGACCAGACAGCCCGCACTCCTTTAAAAAAAAAAAAAAGTGGAAACAATCCATTTCCAAATGGGATCATTTAGGGCACTTAAACAATTACACACTTAGAGAGATCCATTAATATTTCATCGGCTTATTGTTTATGGGAAAAAAAAATCGACACAATATAATTTCTGTTTTTAAAAGCGAAGCGTCGATGCCTGCCTTATTCACTAACTGAAGCGGCGTGTCGTTAGTTAAAGCGCAATACCGCTGGCGCATTTAGAGCACCAGGTCGCAAATATACTATTACGGAGCGAAAATGCATGTACGTTCATTGATAGGCCGGGGGAGTTCACGTAACTATTCACTTCCGAGCTTCACAGGTTCGGATTAATTACACTGTCGTGTAAAGAGACTTAAATAATTTCAGCTGAAACCTGTAGAAAAAAAAAACCCAAGATTAACGAGTACTTTGTCATTTTAACTTAATTAGATAACTTAATTAAATATTGTATACATTTGTTTTTGCAACGTGTGTTATTTTCTCAGTCAAGTCAACTTTGAGGTGGTGTTCAGCTTTTCTCCTGCCTTGAATCCCAAACAACAAATTCACACATAATAAACCAAGCTGAGACGCATCAAAGTGATCTTTTGTGCACCTGATTATGAAGTCAACGAGTTTTCTTCCCCAGAAACACAACGACGCAATGGTGATAGTAGCATTGCTAAAAATATCAGGTATGTTCGTCAAAATAATGTTTATAATATGATTAAACAAGCGAATTTCCACCGGTATTAATACCCAGCTGAGTAGTTTGACTTTTTAGAATCGAAATAATTATGCCTGCTTTCTGAAATTTGTGAAACACCGCATATTCCGATGTTTGCCTCAAAGCTTTCGGTAAACTTGCAAGCATTTTCATATAAATTATAAAATTTGAAAGGTTACTGGAATTTAATGTTTTCTTTCCTCTCAAAACCAGGCCCGCTTATTAACTTTTTTTTGTCTGACAAATTAAATGAACGCCACTAACCAAATAGTGCAGTAGGTGAAGGGAGTGTTTGACAGAACTATTAAAAATGATTTAAACATTTTCTGCTTCTAAAACAGATTCCGTGTTTCCTAATTCGATTATGCCGAGTTTTTTTAATTCCTGTTTATTATCTTAATTGCACACGGTACGGTGCTTGCTGAATATATTTCTCGGACAAAAAAAAAAAAGCTATCGCATTAGTTTAGCTTCCTAAAATATGATGTCGTCTTAAATTGTATTTTGTTTTGTTGAGGCAGAAGTTTCGGTTTATTCTAAACCCCTGTGCTCGTTAATTTCAGATTGTTACAATTACTGTTAAACTGGTGCTTGCTTGGTTGAACTCTTGTAACTCATTAAGTTGTCATTAAAACAATATATAGTAAGATCTATAAATACGTCTATATGTTTGGGGTTTAAATGATTCATTTCTGCGAAAAAATAGTATTTCTCTTCAATCAAAACCCCAGCGGAACACAATTTTGGGATCTAACCGATAATGGTGTTTCATTCTTTATATTAAGGAATTCTGGTGCTCGGATGATGCCTCAGCTTTATCCTGCATCGCCCATTGCGGTCCACTCTGAAGCGGACACAAAGTAGACGCTGTGGTTTAAGGGATAGAAAATGCTGTATATATTATTGATGTCGTTAAAGACGGGCAGCCGCCGGTGACAACAGACCTAACTCTTGTCACGTGGTAGCAGCGTTGTTCCAGCTCAGGAAAAGGTTTTTCCAGTCTTGAATTCTTGCCTTATATCACTCACGCACTTGGGTGCGACGCTGGCTTTTCCTGCTGTTCTCTTTACCCAATTCCTGTCCTTATTGCGGCAAGACTAAACTGAACTGGACGACGGAAGTCGGGTGAAAGTCACCTCGCAGCCGGTCGCGGCTGTGCTGAAATTACATGCGCGTTGAAGGCAGAGTTTTAAGGATAGAAAAAAAAAATCGTCCAGTGACAATACTGATATGAGACCCTGGAGGTGTCTACCTCCCTTCATTTCAGAATTGATGGGAGTGACGCCTTCTATGAGACTCTAAAACCTGAAAAGCGACAATGCGTTCAAGTTGGTTTATTGAGTTTATATGAGTGGTTTATTTTGTTTGCAAGTATCCTCTGTAAACAACCGCCCATTTTACTGATCCAAGACAGGGGTGACGTTTAACTATTGTGCAGAAGTACGAGTCCATTATATAAGCGTCTTGGTTTAATCACTTTTGCCAAGTGGTCAGAGTGATTATAGCCACTATAGCAGACAAATGCACATATAATTATATATATGTTTGTTAACTCTAAATACAACCCATGAGACAATAGAATGGTTGACATAGATTACAACGTCATAATTTTAAAAATATTTTTTTCTGGGAACCTAGGTTTCACCATTCTCCCCACATTTCAGGTAGGATGATCTGAAGGTATCAGGTTTTTATTGTAAGATACGCGTTGCAATTGTCTCTTCATGAGTCATTTCAGGCTGTGGAAACGCAATCCCTAATATCCAGGGCAGGAATAGGCGAGCTAACTTCGTCCCAAAACGGGCTCTTAGCAGAAGCGCCCAAGGCCGGTTACCTGTTTTTCCAGTTTCTTTAAATAAATTAGTAAATGGATCATAAATCAGTCTTTTTGTCAGACTGTACGTTAAGCCATTCAACTGTGTTCGTCTGCTCAAAGTTCTCCGTTTTTTTAATCTAAGTTTAAAAAAACCCCATTCAAATACACGCCGTTTCCGTTTGTAAGAATTTTTATTTGTACATTTAAAAAAGTAATTCTCTTTAATTCCAAATTTCCCCCCTTTCTGGCATGAACTGCACGACCGGAGCAAGAAAAAAAAAATAAGGAGCTGGTCGGAAGAGGGGAAGCGGAAAGTAAAAATATCCAGAAATACGAGAACCACTTCACAATATGAGCCGTTTCACAAATAAATAATTTAAATATACATTTTCACCAAAAAGAGTACTTACAATGTTGCTACACAGTTTTCACATTAAATAAAAACTGCGCTATTTACCTCCAGTGCAAAGACCCTTAACGTTTTAATAAGAGACGACATTCTGTTCGAGTCCTTTAGATGCAATAGATCGTAACACCCAGCTCTTCAGTTCAAGACGGCCTCCTTCAGTCTCCAGCTCGGTGGGCTGTTATTTTAAAGGGACAACATAAGAAATACTGCTTATATTAGCTGGTGACTTTCTACATGATCGCTGCGGTCAATAATAATAATAATAATTAATAATAATAACAATAATAAGAATAATTAATAATTAATAATAGAACAGGTGTGAATTTCCTATTCAATTGATCCACAAATGCACAATGCAAGTGGTAAGTTGATGTGCTTATACCAACAGGCTGATGTTAGAAAACAGCTAAAATATCTTGATTCTCTCGGGGGGTTCACAATTCATTCTGAAGCAAAATAACTATTTGGGTTAAAACATTTTTTTAAAAAATAGATGGGAAAAAAATATGTTTTAAAACTACTTTAGGGCGTAGATGTCTGATTTAAAGAGGAAACGTGACCCCATGCAGTAGGCTATATGAAGTCATCTTAACTGATATACATTCAGTTCAATTAAAACTGAACTACGCTACAACTGTAAATACAGAAGGCATTCTGGCCTAATTGTGCACGTTATGAAGACATAGAAATGGCCAAATTAATTTTAAATTAACTATAAATGACTCAATAAACAGTAAGCAATGTCGATAATATATTAATCTCATTACAATTATAAATGCTACAAAATCCATATAAAATGTAATACTCAAACGATGTACCTACGCGATTCCTAAACTGAAATGCAAGTATTTTATTTTAACTTCAATCATTTGGTCACGATGATTTATACGATTATTTCTAGTATATGATATCAACCCAACACTGTATTTTATTTTTAACAGAGCAAGAGCGTATTCGGGTACGACCTTTTAATGAACATTGTAGGGTCCTAACTCTATATCCTAGTTGTCTTTTAAGATGGCAGGTGTAGTGAAGGCTCTCAAACTGAGCTACAAAGTCGTGTCGAAATCCTGAATAACAGGTTGTGAAAATAAGAATACTTAAGTGTAACCAAAATTATTATTTTTATTATTATTATTGTTATTGTTATTGTTATTGTTGTTTTTGTTTATTAGCCGGTTAGTTGTCATCACGTCATGTAACTTAAAGCCTAAAATGGAAATCCTCACCATGATTTAGCTGGTAGTTATATTACCAGTGCAGAAGGCTGTCGTTTAGCGTGGAAAATATTTTAAACGCTGTAAAAACAGAACTCGTTTCAACTGTAAATGTAGCCCCCCCCCATAAGATGTATTTGTTTTTTAAAAAAACAAACAAACTCATTTTAAAAAATAAATAAATAACGAGGCGACCTTAACTCTTTACATGAGCCTAGAGTCTAGGAGGATTTACAGCCTGCGTGGCGGGAGATCCGACAGTTCGTGTCCATTTCGGTGCGGCCCGTGTTAATCGCGGTCTCGCTCGTTTTGCTCTGGTCCGGTTCGGAGCCGCCGGTGCTGGACGAGCCCGCCGGGCCCCGCTCACCGCGGCTGCGTGGCCCGGGGCAGCACTCCGGAGAGAGGGGGCAGCGCCGGCGGCGGCTCGCTGCCTCCCTGCAGGCCGTGGAGGAGAATCCGGGGGACCAGGGGTCGCTGCAGGGCCGGCGGCGGCGCGGAGGGGCCCCGGTAGAGGTACAGTGCGGCCCCGGGGTCGAGGTTGGAGACCAGGCTTTGCGGGTAGAAGTAGGGCGAAGGGAACATCCTCTGTAGGGCCGAGTAATTCCCGGCTTCCGCTAGCAGTTCGAGTCCCACTGCTGTCTGCCTCTTCCATTTTGTCCTTTTCCCAGGAGCGGGGAAAAAAAAAAACACAACGTAAAAAAAAAAGTTACTAAATGTTGTTTTTTAATTTATTTATACACGACATAAACATGTATTTCTTCACCAGTACATAGACAATAACCCGATGAGAAGGTGGATGTTTAACTACCCGCAGCCGCGTGAAATCTACGGTTCAAAATGCGTCCAGTAAAACCGCTCAATAATTCACGGTTTCGAGAATTACACCCCAGACCAGCAGGCCTGAGCTCGTTTGATGTTTTCGTTTACACGTTGCGCGGTTTGGCGTTTGAATCTGTGAAGACTGTCCCTAAATTCAATGGCTCTCTCAGCCGAGGAAGCCTTCTTGTTGACATCTTCCTGTTTTTGAACTGCTTCCCAGACTGCACTCGCACCATCGTCTTGTGTCTCTTCCAAATACTGAGGGTTGTTCAAGATTTTCAACAATTAATCGATTTTGTAGGGGGTCCTTCCTTTGCACTGAACCCAGGTGCACTCAAAGAGCGAAATCTAATTCTTCTGCATAATAACTTGAATTAATGTGCATTAAGAACTTCGGTTTCATTTTGGTGTTAGAACTTAAATCGAAATAATTTGTGGTAAGGAGAAAGGATTGGTTCATAACACAAGAATCAGTCATTAAGCATGATAAAAACTTCAGACCAGATGGCAATCATTTATAAACCTGTAATAAAATACTTTCAGTCTGTAGGTTCTGAGCACGCCGGTACTGTTGATTAGACCTTCTGAAAGTGTTGAGGTTTTTGAAAGGATAGCCCAGTATTAAACGGTGAGAAAGTGACGGTATCTCTTCCAAAGAGTTTGTTCCTATGGTTTATTTAATAAAACTATAGCCACATTCTCGTTCTTTATTCATATCAAGTGTTTCTCCTCTTGTCAGATAATCCCAGACAGTTGAAAGCCATTCTCACAGGTAAATAATTCATAATTATAATAATTGTGTAATTACAGTACGGAGACTGAATTATTCATGCGCTACGCAGTAATTTGTATTTATTATTCATGCTGAAATGTGTTATGCTTTTATATTTATTTCATGTCGTTTTGCTACATTAATGTTACAGCCGTTTAATCAGATAAATATAGTTTTAGTAGGTGAATCTGTTTTTGAAATTATTTATATTTTCGGGGAAACGTAAATTTAGCGCGATGCGGTAGACTTGCCGTCAAGAGTCTGCAAAAGCAGAGCTGTTTCTCGAGGTGTTTTGGGAAAGGAAATCGTATTTTAAGGTTTAGGATTGTTGCCGTAAGCAGCTAACATGTTTGACGGCGACTGCTGTGTGATATGAAATGGTATTGTAGGAGTTTGGATTGTTACCGTAGGTAGGTAACATTTGTGACAGTGACTGGCTGTGAAATTGTCATTGTTTCTTGGACAGACGCCGCCTTGTCCTCGCTTTCCTGTAGGATAATGCAAAAGCAGTTGGCGGAGGGGGCCACCTGTAAACGAAATATTGGAAAACAGAAGCGTTTGCGCGATTAAAACAGTTCTCACCGCTAGCTTAACGTGTTTTAATTAATGACCTCTGAGCGGTAGCGGTTACCATGTTGAACACACAGCGCCTCTCGCCTGTCCTCACACGCACGTTTCGTCCTGCTGTCCGTTTTACAGCTGTCGTCAGTGTGTGCCTTCCTGCTGGGATCTATTCGTATTGTTGTGGTATTACGCCCACAGATAGGTATGTATATATATAGGCTGTGAAACTGACGGATAATTTCAAATTGAAAATAAGAGTTGGAGTAAATCATAAGACTTATTGAAGTGCAGACTCGGCGCTGTGAAGCGGTCCAGGACAGCTTTTCAATGGCTTCTTGTTGTTTCAAATTACCCAGTTAGTGCGGGCCGTGCAAACTGGCAGCCGTCAAAGAGGAGGACAACTTTCTTCGACAGCTGTGCTGAGGCGATGGTTTGAGGCACCAGACGCAAACGCTTTACGGAAAGATATCTGTGGCAAACGCTCGCAGGAAAAGAACCTGTTTAACTGTCCCGAAGCACGGAGAGGGTTTCATCTTGCGGTCGTGTAAGAGTTATTGTCCCTTTTATGAGCCGAGGGCCTCCCTTCGCACGACAGTCAGTTGGTGTCGACTGGATTGCGAATTGAAACGGCTCATGATCTGCATACACACTCATTTATTCATCTTTCAGGGCTTAGGTAATCACGCAACAGTGTCATAGTTATATGCGTTAAAGTGTAAAGTCAATTCAAAAGTAAATATCCAAGGTTAAATGTCCTATTATAATAACAGATTAAATTCTTTATTACTGTAAGTTATCGTGGCTTCTTTGGCCTTGAGCGTCTCTACTTTCATAATATTCTAATAAAACGCATATCTTGAGTTGGTGTTTTTACAGTCTCGAGTGCGCCTGAGCCTGTCGGGGGCGATTACGTCACTTGAGGTCCTTAGTAAATGTCCCGGATGCTCAGACCTGCAGGTCCGTCAATTAATGACCGAGATCTAAAAGGTGAAGGAATAAAAACATTTCGTCCTAAATCTTACTCGCTCCAGGTATTAATTATCAATCGACATTTGTACCGCTTGCACGCTTTTCGGTAAATATGGGCGCACGCCTTCAGATTGTTCTTCTTAGCAGCAGCGATCATACGAGAATAAACGAAGGCAAGGTCTCTCATTTCGTTCGCTGTTTCTAAAATAAGTAAATATTTCCTTTAGAGATATTAGAATCTGTTCACACGTGCAAGCCAGGGCGTGTAACCTTTCTAATAAGGAAAATAAAAACATTTCTTATTTTACTAAAATATTTGAGTGACATGAATGTTCCCCTAGGCGTCCTTTAGGCGTCCAAATTCGTCATGTAGGACTCTGATTGTAGGTCCATGACCGAATAAACCTGAAGTGGCCAGTTCTAGCACTGCTACCTTATCAACGCACAGTTGATGTGAACTGAGGTAGCACTGCGTGGGACCCTCAGGGCGCCCTGTTGGAAGAAGGGCCGTCCAAGAGCCGTCGCTCTCCTGCTTCATCGTCGGCGCCTCGGTCGTTGTCCGTGGGGTCTGTCGGCTGTAGGGGCTAAGCCGTGTCAGGGCGCTCCTTACCTCCTGTTCTGGTACCAGGTTTTGACCTGGGTGTCGGTGAGGTTCAGCGACGCCGCCAGCTCCATGCGGTCTTGCACGCTGAGGTACTTCTGGCGCTCGAAGCTGCGCTCCAGCTGGGCCAGCTGGTGGTCGGTGAAGGCGGTCCGGGCCTTCCGGGGCTTCTTGAGCCGGACGGGCGGGCTGTCCCGGCTGCTGCTGATCTCCCTGTCGCCTTCCTCCTTCACTGCGGGCACACAAGAGGGACAGGCTTCGCAAGGGCTGGAGGAAACAAGTCGCTTTCAAACCGCGGATCCGGTAGACTTCCGAACAGCTAAATTGTAAGCCTGAAATAACCATCTCGCCCGGAGCCGTGTCATATTTTACGTGAAGTACGATTATTCCAAGAAGAGCCAGGGACTTGTTTGTGCGCGTAATTTGGGTAGCCCGTGTGATCAAGTGTCATTTGCAGCCATAACTTAATTAAAACTATCAACACAAAGAATTGCGTTTCATTTGGGGAAAAAAAAATAGTTTGCTTTTATTGACATTCTAAAAAACAGATAATCCTATCTATTAAAAATAAACGAATAGATAAAAGAAAAACTTTTAAAAGTGCACTGCATTGACAAATATTGATTTTGCTTCCAGATCACGCCGTCAACTAACCCACGAGGAGGTGAACTTGTTGTAACAGTTACTGCAATAGGTAGTTTCATGACTGCCAAACCGATCCGATGTGTAGATTGTTTTTAAAAAAATAATCAGAGGGTAGAGACATTTAATTAAACTAATCTCATAAAGCTTTAAAATGTCAAATTCGTTGCCTGATTTAAATGCAGAATTAGTCGGAAAATATAGAATAAAATAATCTAGGATATAAAATAAGAAATATTTACTGTGTATTTGCTACGCGATGTTGAATAAATGTGTAACCTTGCGCTTTTGCGAATATCAAGGGCAATTTTTAGAATATTTGTTCTCAATCCATTGGTTGAGTATTTGCAGAAGTTTGACATGAATCCAATTTGATACGGAGCAGTGGAACTGACATACGGCGCTATAGTACACATTCCCTTCCTTTTTAATCCGAAAACCTTTGCTCCTTGTTTCTCTTTGCTGTTTTTTTTTGGGGGGAAGAAAAGTGACGCGTGAGAGCGAGTGAGTTTGAATGCGAGTTGATTCGTCTCTCAAGGAGCACAATAATCCGGTTAATTGAGCCACGAGGGATAGAAACCTTTCAAGCACGACTGGAGAAACTTCAGAGGGCCGGGAGTGAGAACCAGGTTAGGAGAGGGCCAGCCCTCCGTGTTACAAATCTGATTAGCAGAGGGACAAATTGCACCAAATCCCTGAAATATCAGGCAGCAGAATCCGTGAAATCAAAGCCCCCCACACTTCTGGTACAAGGGTTTAATGTTGAATCTGCTTCAGAGATACTAGATACAATCTGTCCTGAAGCGCACACATGCAATTCAGAGCATGCGTCTTTGAAATGGGATGAATACATGTTTGTTTCTTATCACTTCAATATTTTCCTTCGATTAACGTTCCCCTAGGTGCCTTTTACGTGTCCAAAGGGGTGACATTAGGACTGCGATTTTAGGTTAATTACAAAAAACCCTGAAATGAGACTGTCGTCTTTAATTGTAGTATTATTGTCATCTCAGCCCACTTAGTAATAGTGATGGTGGTAGTAATATTTTAACTAAATCCAAGCGTGCTCTATAAATGCACTTGACATTTCGTCTGGGTTTTCTTTCTCTCGTAAATTTCATGCCAAATGATTTGATCAACAGGAGGCGTTTTTTTTTTCCACCGACGCTATTGTTTCCCTATCCTTTTACAGTTTCACACTGCTGCCTCATTAAATTGTCAATGAAGATGACAAGTTTCCACGTCTTGATTTTTGGAAGATTAGAAAAAAAAACCCAGACACTTCTAATGCGAAGGCGCGTCTCCCGAGGCTAGCCTGTCATTGCGCGCCGACTTCCTCCCGGTTCCAAACATCAACAGATGATTTTCAGAGACCGTTTGATGATACAAATGAACCTATTTAAAACCGATCGACTCCCTTCTAGCCCCATTTATTATTTTCAATCGACTTCTAGGTAACAAAAGCAACAGTTATTGCCATGAAAAACCAAACCCCTTTTTTTTCCGCCTCTGAGCATATCGGCTCATTGTTAACAAAAACAATCTCATTTTCTTTACCAGGGCATCAAATTCGTTCTCAACTGAATTTGGTTAAATAAAGAATTCATATTTTCCAAGTTAATTGCTTGAGACGATAGTCATAAACATTTAAGTTACGCACGATATACAGAACATTAGGGTCTTGTACCCGTTTTAAAGCCGAAAATGGAAACATCGTGAGAGAATAATAGTTATCTTCAAAATACGTACGGAATCGCGAAATCTAAAGATGTATTTGTAAACCTGCCTGGTAGTTTTTGTCTTTTTTTCTGACTATGGGTTACGCTTGTCATGTTGCTTAAATAACCGTTTCTAAGAAAACGGATTCGGAGGTCACGATTCCAAAACTTATTCAAACTCTTTGTCGCCAAAGCCCGTTTCCTTTCTTTGTTGTGGTTTTTCATACTACTAAGGGTGGCTAGAAATTATAGTTTTTTTATGGGTAAAGAAATCGTTTTGTTCGGAGCTGTCTGACAATATTCCTCGATTTGAAAACATCTCCGTGTCTCTTCACATCTACACCCACGCACTTTTTACATTTATGGTCGGAAACGAACAATTACAATCGCCGACATCGAAATGCTCGCATTTATTATCAAAAGTAATCTTACTCGTTTTGCTGTCATTTCCCCTCTATTAAAAACAAAATATGAATCGACTACGCAGCAGAGTACTGAAATAATGAAACCCGCCGGACTGACAGCCGTTAAAAAATAAAACTTTTAACAAACCAATCTGTTCCAATCGGAAACGCGATGGCGGAAACGCCGGGGGTGCTCATCATGGACAGAGCTCGCATTTTTGGCCGTGCATCTTTACCTTTGTACTCGGTGTCCGACGAAGAGTTGCTGTGAATTTTGTCCACCTTGTCCATGAAGTCGTCCGCGATTTTGGCCGACAGCCGCCCCGCCTCCGGGGCCGGCGCGGCGCTGCTGGAGTAGGGCGCGCAGGCGGCCAGCGGCTTGCAGTCCGCCAGGATGTCCCTGATGAGGAAGGAGGACGTGACTGTCCGCGGCTGGGGGGCAGCCGACATCTGGGCGCGCTGGAGGTGCGAGTCCAGCCCCAGAGCGTGTCCCGGCCTCTGCACAGCCTCCTCCAGGCACTCCCGCCTCGGGGAAGGAGGCGACGAGCAGCCGCTGCCGAGGTCGGACCGCGGGCTGAGCTCCAGCGGGGACCTGCATTCCCCCATCAAGCTGTCCCCTTTGGAAAGCATTGGACTCCCGGGCCTGTGAGACAGTAAGGAGTCGATTCCGAAACTGGGGCCGTTGGTAGACGCGTCCATTGTCGACCAGAGCTGCTCTTCTGGGTTTTTGTTAAACTACCATTTGGACTGCGGGGAACTTCGGTTCGAAGTGCAGGCAGCCCAGGCGCGGCGAGAGTCTCAACTATCCAGCCGGGAAATCCCTCCCCGCAAACCACACAGAGACGAGAATATTCCTCTGCTTTCCTTCCGAATATCCCCCTCAAAATAGGTTGCAAAGTTTTAAATTAACATTAAAAAAAAAAAAAAGCTCCGGCCCTTCCGTGATGGTGGTAGCTTGAAATCAATGCTGCGTTTAACACTTGTTTAAGTATTATTTAAAAATCGATAGAGCTTGGAAACGTTTTTCAGTTGTAATTGATTTTTTTATTTCAATCCCAGAGCAAGGTTACTCGGAGGCAGCAGCAACAACAACAACAACAACAACAATAACAAAAAAAGAGTTTGTTTCTTCTTTTTTTCCGGCTTTTAATGGCTACTGGAAGCTGGAACGTGTCTGGAAGGGAGCGGCGCGGTCTCACTCGGGCTGCCAGGCGCTGCCGGTTTCAGCACCACGGACAGGCGCCGGCGGGTCAAGTCAGTGGGAATTCAGGAAGCGGCGGATCGCTGAAAAATTAATCAGATCAAAGGTAGCTGTCGCAGCGGCCCGGGCGAGCGCGGAGCGAGGGGAGGCATTCTGCGCCCGTCACGGGAAGGCGAGGCGGAGGAGAGGAAAGAGAGGAAAAAGCGAGTAGCCAGAGGTAAAACGGGTTAAACACACACATCGGGGAACTAATGCTTCCCGGCGACACTTTTCCTAAAAAATGAACTTGTGTCACACTCAGGAGCTCGGTTTTAAAGGTGTCCCGTCCACGTGCGTCCCCAGCGATCTGCTCCCATTGGCTGGAGGGGCTTTTTTGGGTGATGACTCGCTCGCGAGGAGGAGGAAACTCGACTGCACAACCCCCCCATCCCCCTCCCCTCCTCACTTTGATTAAAAGAGACACTGAATTAATTAGGAGACCCAGATCCAACTGTTTACAGGCAATTTTCACACTGTTTGCTTTCATTACATCATTGATGAAGCTTATAATAGGGTTATTATCTGGAGGGGGTGAGTCTCTCCCACCCCTGTCTGCCTGCGGTATTTATTTTAGAAACTTGACAGGGCAGTTAGATCGAGGGTCGCTTCCAGTCTTACCTCAGAGGTCTTAGAACGATTTTTACTAACGGCCGCTGTTTTACTGTGCAATGTTTATTATGGATGCTTTATCCTGCGCTCTATCAGTTTATGTCTTATGCTTTTTTTTTTTCCTGGGTTGTTTAAGATCCACCGACGACCGTGCAAAGGATAACGCTGTATTGTACAGCCACGTCTTGGGTTAAATCAAATAAGACGTGAAGGCTAAACAGTACATTTAAAAATATGAAGAAAAAACTCCCAAAAGCATCTCGGTGAAAGATGAACAGTAAAAATATTTTTTTTGTTTTTACTATTTAATTGAAATGTAAGAGACACTAGTCAGCCTCCTGTTACTGAGCTCAGTGTGCTTTACTGGTAATACTTTTGATGTAATTTTAATTTAGCATGCGATCTATAATTATTTTTGATTTAACGAAACGACATCAATGCGTGTTTCAGCTTCTGCATTTTTCCTTCGTTATGAAGACATAGCCGAAAACCAGACACGTTCAATAACGTGATCGAAAAGTTCCAGAAGGAGACCTTGCAATAATTCCCTTACCTTCAGCATCGTCGCTGCTGTAGCTGCAAAACTATTTTGCCCCAAATAAAGGCACATTGCTCTCTCTCTATGCGGGGAGCAGCTTGCGGTAGTAAGACCCTCACCGTTCCACCGTTTAGCCTGTTAGTTAAGACTAATGTCGACGCTTTTAAATGTAAATTCGCAATAACCTCACCTAACACGAAAGCATTTAATGAACAGATCTCACAGCGTAAAACTTCATTGTTCCCACCGCGGACACCTCGAAGTCTTTATTTTGTTTTCCTGCTCCGTTCCAGCCCCCGGACCCCGACAATCGGACCCCCGCGTCAGGACCAGATTGGAGGCGCTGGCCCTGCGCAGACACACCGGCAGGTGAGTGCGGCGCCGCCCGCTCCCAGGGGAACCCAGCCTGGCTGCAAGCTGTCACACGGGGCGGGGGCGTGGGGACAGCAGAAACCACCCTATTGCGCTGGACTTCGATAAGAAATTATGATGACCTAATCCGTATCTGCGTTCCGACCATATCGTTTTTCCCAGCTATATAGACTTATGTGGAATATCACGGAGCCAGTCGTCTATTTTTTTTAAATGCCTATCTGTGACCCTTATTTAATGAGTTGAGCTTTTTACAAGAAAATGTTGTTTCTAAAATTAAACCACATAACCATATGCTAAAATATTCCACTTTTCCGTTTTATGAACTAAATGCATACATTTAAAATAAGATAAAATTAAGGCTGACATTCATGAACGATGGAAAGATGCTAATTTATTATAATGAGATTTTCTAGTAGTTATGGTCGTCAGGGTTACTTTAAAATGTTTGGTATCGGCACTTTTATCAAGAATCTACTAGAAAACAAAGTAACACTAAGCAAAACGATTGATATTATAAATAAAGTAACAGATAATTGCCTTGGTTTAACTAAAAGGACATATAATAATAAAGGGAAACGGCCTTTTACTCCAAAAATCTATCAAAGATGTTAAAATGAAAGCTACAGTGTGTTAAAAAAGCTTAACATGCTAAATATACTATAGAAAACCGCACCATTGGCACAGAAACCTTATAAAAAGTCTCTTCCCTGACAATAAGTCATCTTGATTTTTAAACATGAAGCTGAAGTTTTGCCTGGTCAGCCCTGCCTTATGGTGCGTATTTCTATTCCAAATTCATCGTGTTTGCCTTCTGTTGGTGTTTATTCCAGTGTTTGGCAGCCAGTACCCTTTAAAGTGTGTCGCTAATAGTGTTACCTGAGGACAGGCGCAGCCGTTGTCACCTGACTTGAATTTACTGTGATGCTGTACAGGGATCAGTGTGTTATAATGTTGTTGCTCCAAAGCTGATGCAGGTCCTTAGTCTTTACCTCCTTATAATGTGGCAGTAAAGCTGTGCTCAGGAATGCATATTCACAGAGATGGGGCAGGTGTGACTGTTCAACAGAGGTCTCCCTGCTCCGTTTCTCACATTGGTGCTGCATGCAATGAGTTGGTATTTTTCTATGTAAGCGATTTAAAAGATGATGCATTATAAGCACAATGTACAGAATATTTTAGAAATACTGCAGTGTCATTATTAACCTGAAATAATTCATCTTTATATAAACAAAAGTTTAAATGAAGTGGAGATAATGGAACAGCAAAAAATAATATTACTCCAGTGCACTGCAGCTACCCCAACCTGTGTAAAATTCTTACTGTCACAGAACATGTGTTCATAATAAATCACCACCATCTACGCGCACGCGGTGAAAATCAGCTGCAGCCTGAATGTTGGGATTTAATAATAAATCAAGACTAATAACCTGCAAATGTAATTTTTATTAGATTTTGTCATTGGAAGAAACTCAGTGAAATGATCAGGAATGAAGTGTATGGGGAAACGTGTGTGGGACACCTCCTCTGCGCTCCCGGGCCCGCCGGCTAGCCAGTGCCGTGTGTGCCGTGGCCCAGATGGCCCCGCCGGGCCGCCGGGTCGGAGCCGTGGGCGCCGAGCGCTCTCCGCCGGGACTCGGGCTCCTGGAATGTGTCCAGGTGAGGCCCCACCTGCGGGGAGAAGAGACCGAAGCTGGCCCTCGTTTCCACTAACGCGGCACGACGCCGTGGGACCGTGACCCCAGACGGCCCCGGGCTGGGAACAGAAATACACAGGGCCATCTGCGAGCCCGAGGAGCGTCGGGCACTTGCAGTGACCTGTCCATACTGGACTGCAGTCCTCTGGATGGACTGCGTTATGCACACACTGACGCCCCACCCAGGGTGCACCCTGCCTTGCACCCAAAGCTTGCTGAGATAGGCTCCAGCTCCCCCCCGCGACCCTGAATTGACCGAAATGGTTAGAAACTGCGTGGAGATATATATATAGTGTGGATATTTCCTATACTCTGGGTAGAGAGGGGTATGTGTTAGTTACTGTAGCAGCAGTACTTAAGATTTTGGCTTACGCACAAGTGATAAGGACCGTGTCTTTACTCCTTATCGAGGGGTGAGTTTGGCACACCTCGGACTACCAGGATGGCATTGCTGAAATCTCATTCACACCACCCTCCTCATACGGTACTGTTTTAATGTGATCTAGGACAGCCAGAATACATTTCTAGAGCTGCATCAGACAGGACAAAAAATTGTGTAGAAGATAAAATAATCATTAATAACTGTAGTGCACAAAAACTCTACTATTGTAAAGCAGAGTCTGGTGCTCATAGCTGAAAAATGCATTAGATGGTATGAGTGGGCCTTTGGTTTAAATCCTTGTTCACTTCAGGTTCATACTGATTGATTGAAATAAACATCCTATTATTATTCAATAACTAAATTCCAGTATTAAATCCATTGTGATTAAAATATACAGAGAATGTCACATTTAGTATGGTGTATAGTTGCTTATATATTATAATATGACCTGACAGTAGTATAATTGCCTTGCAGATGTGTCCCAACAACAAAAAAAAAGGAAGTGGTGTATTGTGTTGAATTCAAGCCTACACTGAACAACGAGGCAGACTTTTTACATACACAGTTGTTTCTGCACTAATTTATGGTCAATATAACATGTAGGAAGCAGGAGTCTGGAGATCGGTTTGCCCTAAAAGCCAGTCTTGGTCTGACAACTGCCTTATTAAGAGTTGTGTTTAAATGATTGTGTGCCAGCGATGTGAACAGTCAGGCTGCTGATGAATTAGTTGAAGACAGAGCACAGGAGTTGCCCAAGCTGTGTGTCACGTCTCACCTGAGCCCTCGACTGAAGACCTGCTGGAAATGTTCAAGGCAACTGCGCTGGTTCAGCACAGGCCTGATTGACGGCTCCTGATCATTACAGGAGCACACACAGACATGGACAAAACATCTGCACACCCTTTGCAAATACTGAGGAAGTCGAACAGCAGTGGCAAATAATGTTCTGTCTTATGCAAAATATCAGCTAAGAGACTGTGAAGTAAAATGAATATCTGAAGAGACTGGCAGCTATGTGAACTAATAGTCACAGTACAGGGTTGTGATTTTGAAAGGGTCAGTTCGCACACTCTGTGTACAGCAGTATACAGCTGTACCATGTTCTCTTTATAACTGCAGTGCTAAATTGATAGAATATATTCTATATGTGGTCTGAGTGGCGTGATTTTTAGGGATGTAAATTGGTGAATCACAAAAACTGATGAGGGATGATGTATGGAGTATATTTAGTTTGAGTCATACAGAGTTAAAGAGCAAGTGTTTTTGGTATTCACTAATAACCTTTGAGCTTTAATAGTATATTCCTGTAGAACAAGCATTTATTTGCCTAGGAAACATTGATTTATCTTATTTCGTCTGTATCAAAATTATTTTTGAAAATCATACACGTCAAAATAAACTAAGTACTAAAGTTTTTCAATTGCAAAATAATTTAGGAAGTGTTTAAGAACAGGTGCTATTTTAAAAACAAACAGGAATGTAGAGCAATTGCGAGTTTTTTGACTGTGACTCAGACTGAAAAGTAAACTTCTAGCTTTTTTTAGATTAAAGATTAAGTAAAAGTCTCAGCAGAAATATGTAAACAGTTGTAAATTATTTTTAAAGTTACAACACAAAATTCACCGGTCTAATCAATAATAGATGGAAATCAATTAATGGTTAATAATAATTACTTCATATTTTTCTTTATCCAGGAAATGTTGGACTAATTACACAATCAATTGCTTGGTGAGATGATAAATATTTGATGTTATAGGTTTTCTTGTAATGACAATGAAACGCATATCGAGCAGCGTTCTTTTGCAAGATGTTTCCCTCATTTTCCTGCTCCTCCGAAAGTAGTGAATGTAAACGCACGCGAGGCTTCAAAAAAAGCACAGCATGGCTACCAAGAGCAAAAGGGGTCCGTCTGTGGCCCAGTCAGAACCAGTGAGGCCCCTGCGCTCGGGCCAGTGCCGGCCCAGCCAGTGGTGCACCAGCATCCACAGCTACTTCTCATTACACCAGTGGTTGAACTAACTCTACAGTACAGCACGTAGTCTGAAATGTAAAAAAAAATCGTAAAAAAAAAAATCTATTTTTTGTTTTTATCTTCGGCCTGATTACGTTAGTTTGCTTTGCTGTGCCCCTCCTGCCCCTGCTGGCTCAGTATCCTCTGCGAGCACAGCGTGTCCACCCGCAGGAGGCACTGGTGTCCTTCGCGCGCGAGAGGGAACGAGAGTGAATGGACAGGGGGACTGTTGGGGTGCTGTGTGAACTATTTCTCAATCGATCAGTTTCTTCAAGATTCTGCCTCTACAACAGGCATCAGATTTGACGTGACAGCTTAGAAGGAAGCTTGTCTCCAAAACATAAAAATTGGTGTTTATGACAAAATAAATTTATAAATATGTATAAAAGTTCTAACCAACGGAAAACTCTGTCACTCACTCTCTTCTGTGTTCCCTTTACTTTTTTTAATATTTAACATGTTGCAAACTGCTTGCAAGATGCTTCAAAGAGCGAGAAATTGCTCCTATCAGCTCACTCACCCCCACCCCGGGAAAAACACAAAGAAATTTTGCTTGTTTATTTTATTTATATATTTTTTTGTTTGTTTGTTATGGATTTTTTTTTGTTTTGTAAAAAAGCATGTCGCCTTTGGAACAATTTTGGCATCTAGATATCTCTTTGAAATACAGAAAAAAATACATGCATTTAAAGAAAGAGAGAAAAGGGAAAGGAAAAGACGACACACAACAAACAAACAAATGGAACGGGCGCGCTCAGAAAAAGTCAGGGATGCAAATGTCTAACCCAAAGCCATCAGAAATGATACTTGACAGAAAATAATGAGAATTGCTAAATCTTTTATAAGGTTAACACTCGCCTTTCACAGTCAGCTGTCATACAAGAAAGAATTTAGCACATGCTTGCCGCAAAAATAAACCTTCATCGGCTCATTAGAGCTGACAGGCCTGGACGGCAGTCCTCAGCAGCCAAACGCCACCCCGTTTTGTGTCGGTAATTTGCAGTGGAGATACACACACAAAAAAAGAAGAAGAAAAAAATTAAGGGAAAAGAAAAAGCGAGAGGGGAAGACAGAGGGGGGCCTTGGGGGAGGGAGGTAAGATCGTTAGCGCACCAGGAGCCTGATTCTCTCCTAATTGGAAGCGTTGGGCATTGTCAACCGAGGATTTTCGCCGGCTCACTGACAGGTAGAGCCGTCAGGATGATAGCCCACTTGTCAGCGTAAAAGACCAATAAAAACAAACCATTTTTGATTTAATTGGAGGCTTGTGCTGGCCAGGGGGTGGGTGGGGAAGAGATGGAAGCAAGGGGTAAGGGGGGGGTTTTGGGAAGGAAATGTGAAAGAAATCATCACTTCCAGCATGCACATCCACCTCCCCACTCCCACACGCCAGTCACTCCACCAGGAAGGCCTGGGTGGTGCAACGTTTTCAAAGGGTTGAGATCCGGGAAATCTGGTGTCGGGTCCCGACAGCGGGGCCTGCAGGAGTTATAATCCGGGTCTGTTTGAGCAGTTATGATCAGATCCAGGTGGGCAACCTGTTTTCCTTAAAGGGTGCTAATGCTTACAGTTTGTCTCTGTAAATATATAACCTGTAACCTTGTAGATCCCGTTCTTGCAGGCAAGGTGTGTGCATCAGTTTACAGTGTTTCAGTGTAGAATGGGCAGTGGCCATACTGCACTTGAACTGTCCTTAAGATCCCAGAGCTCTATAGTTCCCAAAGCCCAGTGCAGCAATTACCACATAGAGCTATAAGACCATGGGACACATCGTGTGCAACACAAACAGGCCAGGCCAGCAATGATGAAGTACTGGGTCAGGTGAATGGTGATGCATTCAGTGAAATCCAGACAAACCTGATGACTAGCCTAAATGCAGTTGCCCAGGAGATCAATGACCACACAACTCTGTCTAGTAAGCATGCTTGTTGTATGTGTACAATTGCATATAGAAGGAATTCATATCTGAGCAGCTACCAACTAGTCAAGCAACATACTTGGCAACAGTGGTCCAGAGGCCCCTGTACATAAATATATATATATATTGGGGAATATCATAAATCTGTTAATTCCACAGAAGGTTTTGGCCACCACTTAATGGGATGGTTGACCGTTAAACTAATCATTAAATGTATCGGTAGCAGATAAGTACAGTTAGTATTTCTTACAGTTAATAAATGACTGAATGAATCTATTTTTAGGTACAGGGCGACAGTATTTTTTTGACCGCGTATTTATATACGTTAGAATGCGGCCCAGTCCCCCCCCCTGCGCTAAACGTAGGGCTGGCCACCCATGTGTTAGAATATGAACTTGAACTTGAACTTTATTGCCGTATGTAACCGGTACTGGTACAATGGAATTCTTACTTACAGAAAGTAAGAAATATGGCTCAGTCTACAAAAATAAACCTCTGCCTATCTGGTCCTTTGCCACTGCATGGCTCTGAGCGCACTGTCCTGCTCCTGCGAGCCCCATTATCTCGGGCTGTAGAAGTGTCTCCTCTCTCAGACAAGCTCTCGAGAGCCTGGGTTCCTGCGTGTGAAACATCAGGCTCCCAGCTATCACTCCTCACTCTCTTCCCCTCTCTCATCCTTGCGCATCTAAAACCGGTGTTTTATTATTTCTGACAGAGTTCACCAAAGACATCTGCTTAGAAGGAGAAGGGGCGGTGGGGGAGGGGGGCAGCGATCGGCTCAGGCCATCCATCAAAATTTCATGAAGAAGAACCGCTTTGCGGCACCTAGAATTAAGTGTCTTTAAGCTAGCCTCTTCCCTGCCCATCCAGTTCCATTTGTCCTTTCCAGTATGCACCTATCTCAAATTTAAGCTAACCAGCACTCTCCCTTACAGCGGTATTGATTGTTCAGTGGAAAGGAAACTTTTAATTTGCGAGTCACGGATCAGTTTGCTCAGGTCTTTAAGCAGCGTTGCTTTTAATGGACCGATATGTCATAGTAATGAGAAACCACTGCAGTGACACTGCTTGACTCTGTGTGAATAAAGCAACATCCAGACAGAGAGATTGATAGGTTAGTAAGTAGGCAGACGTAACACACTATCTGAAGGGCTGGAATTCACAAAGCCTGTTACTCCGTGTGTCATTAGCTCCATGCTGTCTAGAGGAATAAAAGTAAATTCCTGGAACACTGAAATGAATATGGCCACTTTAATACAAGGACTAACAGTTATTTCTGAGTTCTGTGATGCTATTGTTTGTAATCAGTCTGTGATAATCTACTTTCATTGTTAAAATCAATGCTTTAAAAAGTAAAAGGCTCAGTATGACATGAGAATTATCAGTTTTGTAATAATTTAAGGTCACGGAAACCACCAATGTTTAAGCCTCTTTTTTTTCTTGTTTGATCCTAACAAAAAACTAATTATTTAAATAGCATTTATTGTCTGGAACTAACACTCGGTTTTAAACACAGATCCTAATTTGTCTTCCCTGATTACAGAAAAACTAAAATTGATAGGACACTCAGTGATCGGTGACAGATTCAAAACCCTTTTAGTTTTGGCAAATATTTCCTGTGGCTTTCTATGAAAGACTGGACCACTATAAATAGGATATGTGCAGACTTAAAGTTATGGGGAATTTATTCAGTGGTGAAAGACAAGCCTGTGAAGCCCCCATTCTGAACACACTTGATACAGTAGATCAAGAATAAAAGGGATCGAGGCAACTGGATATCAAGGAGAAGCAGAACAGGGGTTTCCAAGGGGTTGGAGTTCAATGTTACCCCCCTCACAAATGCCCACTCAAGCCCACACTGTTCCTGTACAGGGCAGCATGAGTGGATGAACTCTGAGCAGGCCGGGAAGAGGGGCAGGTCCCCTCCAGCTGCCAGGGGGAGACCCACACAAGCTGTTGGACAGCGCCAGGCCTTCCCCTCACCGCAGGGCTCTGACAGGGTGGGGACGAACCTGACACCAATAAATTACTGGAGAGGCACCTGACTCAGGAAGGACACAAGGCATCGGCACTTAAACTTTCAGTCTAGAGTGGACTGCAAAGGCATTGGAAGAAAATGAAACTTCTCCTTTACCTAAAAATATCTGCGTTCATATCAGCTTTTTATATTTAAGACCAAGTATGAAACAAGTGTATGATGGAATCATGCAGCTTCTGTAGGACATAGGAGCTGTACCTACCAGGTTTTTAACCTCTTTTTTAAAAGAAAACTGAATGCGTCTGCATGCTTGAGTTTAATACACTTGCCAATCCTGCTTTGGGCTACTTAATAGGCCATGGGTCTTTTGCTAGGCTTTAACAGTACAACAGTAGCTGAGGAAACCTGATGACTGCTGGGATGGTGCAAGTCCCGTACTCACGACCAGAATGGAAGTGTAGGGTGGAGGTTGTTACCTTTTGGAACCGGGGCAGTTTCCAGAGGGAGGTAAACTCCACACTGGGCTGGCTTTGGCGCAGAAGGGATGTCCGTGTCTCGTAAATCTTCCCCAGCTGAGCCTGCTGCGATACATACAGAACAGGGTGTACTAACACACTGTGTTGGCGTTGTCTTTTTTCATATAAATTGACCTTTTCACCGCATCCAGCTGTGCCAAAGACAGTTTTTACATCTCAGTGATTAGGAGATAAATGTTGCATTATTTAATGGACTGCCTCCATAATTTGAAGGATAATATTAGGAGTTATTGATTAACCAATAGGATATCAGGCAGGTGGGGTACCTGGAGCTGAAGTGAAGTTTCTCTAAGGGTATGTCACCTTTTGTAATGGAACGGTATGGTACACAAACTGAGTGAAAGTGAAAGTGATTGACACATTTTCCTGATTGTCATTTTCCTTTGTGCTTATTGTGCATTGCACTAGAGGGGGTGTGAGCAGGAGCCCCGATGTTGCAGCACGGTGTTGTGGATGTGCTGGATTGTAGTCTGTGCCGCACTATCAGCGCTACGCGCTCCCTCGCTCGCTCCTCACTTTGTTACCTTCTTTTGCCGAGACGCCAGTTTGGCCCGCTCCGCAGACTGCTGCTCCTCCAGCCAGCGCTGGGCGTACCGGTGTTCCAGCAGCTCAAAAATGGGAGTGGAGGGGCTGAGGGAGAGCCAGACAAGGGGGGCGATCAGACGCATGTGAAAGAAACACTGCGAGCACAGAGGGTCTGCGGGTTATCAACGATCCAGGTAAGACCCACCTCCTAAAAGGTGTCTTTTGCCAGGGCAGTCACTATTCACAGCCTCTTTTATCTTTACATTCAGCATATGCATCTCAGTCACCTGAAGGCGGAAAATGTCGACAAACCGCCAATGATGTACAAGAAGTTCACCTCATAAGATGTGCTTCGATTTTCAGAAGACGTAATTGAATGTATCTTAAAAATGTTAAGTTAGAACTTTAATACAGGCTGTTTAATACAGGACAGAGCCTTGAGGATGCTCCTTCTGGGCCCTGTGTCCCTGGTTATGTGTGCAAAGTAACAGGATATAAACTTGTTAAATATGCAAACATTCTTGAGACAGAAAAAAAAATCACTGATTTACCTTGAGGCTGCTGTTAAACTCCAAACAGGTATATATAATATATATACTGTATATATGTGATACAGGCATTGGTGATACATGGCAAGTAACCAACAGTAAATGCAAAGTGTTGTATGTTGGGAATAGAAATAGGGGTTATATGTATGGAATGTGTAATGCATAACTGAACAATGTCCTGTGGGAAAAGGAGTTAGACCTTGCAGTGGATTTTTCACTGTCATTAAGGCCTCATGGAGAATCCATTAACAAGTCAAAGAGGATGCTTGGGTATTTATTTAAGAGCGTACAATGCCAGCCGAGAGGTGTGGTGAATTTGTAAATGCCCTAGTTTTCCTTGTCTAAAATGTGCAATCCCAGTGACCACATCACAAGAAGGATCTTGGGTACCTTGGAGAAGGTTCAAAGAAAGGCTACTAGACTTATTCCTTTGGTGAAGTACAGGAGGCATGATAAAAGAATGAAAGAACCAAGTCCTTTTTAGCCATAGGAGGCAATGTTTCAGGAGCGGGGAGACTGAGATCTTCAAATTCATGAAAGGAGCGAGAAGGATGGAATCCGGCAGCGATTTCGACCTTAGTTTTTCCACACCAAGCAGAGGGCAAAAACAGACGCTTATCAAAAGCAGATTTCCAAGTAATAGGGGAAAATAATTATCAATATAGGTGGTAATTGGGAGTCTGGTCAGGTAGTCTGATCTAATACTGTACATGCAGATCTTCCAGGAATCAATTAGTGCTATTTTAATTTTTTTCTAATTTTAGCACAGGAGCAAGAGAGCTCTGATTGTCTCACAGACTTGACTTCTCCTGCTTCTGTGAAGTAACAGACAGGACTGGAAAACACTGGTGATACAGCAAGGCAAATATCAGCAAGAAGAAAAAAACGAAGAATATGTTGATGTTTTTAGTTTGGGTTTTTGAGATTAAGAAGAAGTCACTAAAATATGTGCACATTTTTGTTTTTTGCTGTTCGTTTTTCTCTGTTGCCTAAATTCAGGTGGCAGTATTTGCTACATGTTTAAGTTTTTCCCCCCAATCGAATGAAACATAGCAAAGAAAGAAAAATGCAACATCTCTTCACAAAAAAGGAATAAAAAACAGTAAAATAATAAGGTGATAAGTCGCTAGTTTTAAGAGGCTGCAGCATAAAAAATACAGGAAAAACTAACAAGTTAAAAAAGTCTGGTATGTAGCGGAGGAATATTCTCCTCTTTCCAAATGCAAGTCGATCTGTCAGTGTCTTCTAGTTCTCCTGACGAGAGCGGAGGGGCCCAGAGATGAGAGCTGGGTTCAGAGCGATGATGTATTCCCTCAGTTGGTAATCAGTGCAATATGTAGGTAATATGTGGGGCTGGAACATCTCAATTATCACTTGTGCCGTCACTGACGCGCAGGGTTTCGAGCTTGGCCACCCCTGCAGTGACTTTTATTGCTTAATTAGTAGGCACCACATGCCATAGCGTACCCTCCACTCCACGCAAGCTAAACCTTAATGAGTTTGGACAGGCTGCTAAAAATGATCCAATTGCCCTCTGTGGGCGGGCACTGGAAACGTCAAGACCACTGCTTGGTGCCGGCCAGCGTCTGCCCCAGTCCTCGACACCTTGGTTCTGTCGCCCCGGTCCACAGGGCCACCTCTGTTGACCTTGGGACTACCTCTCACCAACGTCTTCATTTTCAGCTTGAGAAGAGAAAAGCTCTAAGCCGGGTTCTCTGTAATAACACTCCGGCGGAGTGGACCGGCATTGTTATACAGTGCCTGTCCCCACACTTATTCATGTGAGCTCAGCCTCAGCCAGGTGGGAATAGGAAAACCAACTGCAAGACACTAACAAATCTGACCGCTTTTAGACAGATTTATAATTATACTAAGCCTACATCACCTAAGCCTATACATTCTGTTCTGAGTTTTCAGTGTTTATTCTAATACAGCATAACCCCCTTTAAAATGCAATTAGCTTTCAATGCATCTTCAGTAGATCACAATGAAGCAAAACACATTCATTGCCCTCTGAGTATAGGGTGCTTTTCTATCATTATTAACCATTATTTCTTAAAATACCACAGTAGTGTTTATTGCATACACATCTCTTTTCTGTTGAAAAGAATACTGTCTGAGATTTTTAACACCTGGAGAAAATAAATGAGGAACCTTACGCAAATATATCAGCTAGTAATCTGCAGGGCTCAAATGCTAGTTAAACAGGCTCTAGTAATTAGTGTTACCCATAAACTCTGCTTGATAAAGCAAAAGAGTCAGTGGCCGTGATGTTAAGTAAAATTTCAGCTTTATTTTAAGTTGAAGTTTAAGGTAATTTTATATTGATATTTCTAATTACACAGAATATAAATGAAAAATGCAGAGCAGTTTTATTAGGATATTAAGGCCACACATTTAACACGGGCAGCCGAGGGGATAGGGGTCAAAGACAAAACTTAGGCTGGCTAAACAGGGCCTTTATAAGCACGAGGATCAAATACTGGCACCAGACGATCACAGCGCACTGTTCCTTTCATTTTACTGGCTTGACAGTCTTTTCAATGCTAACATATAAATTTGTCAAGATCCAGCACAGCTGAAAAAAAAAGGTGCAATTTCTACTGCATTACTCTGCAAGACGGGGGGGTGGAAAAAACAAAACAAAACAACCGTTAGTGAGAAAACGTGTGTTCCTGACTTTGCACAAATATTTTATTCCTTCATTTTAAAGGTTTGTAGACCAAGGCCTTGTTGAACAGATGTGTTTCAGGTGCAATTCCTCAAAATGCTCCCTCTGTCACAAACTTCCTTTTTCGTAGGAGGCAGGGTAAGGAATGCATACAAATCCCAGACCCGCCATTGGGTAACGGGATGAAAGCCTGCACGTGTGTTTGTGTGTGGAGGGGGGGAGAAGCGGAGGGGTTCTGAGTAAGACCCCAGCACATGCTCATTAGAGTTGACCTTGGCACTAGGAACCAGCGTTTGATGGATAAGGTACAGGGCCAAACAAGACCCTGGGGAGCCATGATCTTATCTTTTACTGTACACTCACCTCCTTTCTCCTGACCCCTCCCCTGCACACTCTCACATTCCCCACTCTGCAGGCGTCAGGAACAGAATAAATCTGTGCCTGACAGAGGAACAGAGCCAGAGACAGGGAGAGGGAGCAAGAGAGAGAAGAGGAAAAGACAGGGGAAAGAAAAACAGAGAGCACAGAGCAATTGCGCACCGCACACAGGGGCGTTATTAGCTAAATAATTCAGTTCCATTTTTACAGTGTCAGTGCTTACAAGGGGAAAAAAAAGAAGGAAAGTAAGGAAAAAAAACCCTGTCTTTATGCTCTTGTGTAACAGTGATGAATTTCTGATGAAAGCAAAACCTCTTAACTGTCTAGCTCACTGAAGAGCCCAATGATTAATCGGTTTCCCTCTTCCACCTGTCTCTCAGCTGTTTCCCTTCATGCGAGGAAGACTTTTTTTTTTTTGCTCTACTATCATACCTTTCACCTGTGAGTGAGGAGAATGCTTGAGTTTAGTAAACTGTATTTCAATCAGAGTAGGACAGGAAGATGTAATATACTGAATATATATATTGTAGTACAAAAGAAAGGTAGGGAGGTATTTATTACGATCTGCAAAGATAGTTCAGGTTTAAAATTTCTGAGACAATGTACAGTATAAGTTATGTGTCCCTACCGAATTTCCGGGCAAGTTAAGCCGGTATAAAGACAATGTCTCTGCAGAAATTTGTCTAGAAATATATGAACATTACTCAGAGCTCTCAGAAATACAGCCATCTCACATTTGAATAGTATTACAGATGTATCAATGAAATGAATTCAAGAAATGTTTTTAGTCTATATTAATCTATATTATTTATAATTAAGTATGGATTAATTTTTTGGTATCTGTGGAACTGTTAAAATATTTTAAAAATTGGAGCAAATATTTACAATGTTCTGCTTATATAATCTGCTGAATTAGTGAAGTCCTTTCTTGCATCCTCTGTCCTGCTGTGTTCAAAGAAATTGATATAAACTAAAACAATACATATCATTTTCTAAATGCTATATATTTCTTAATGACATTTATTCATAATTATTTCTGGACTCAATACCAACCTCCTGTTTTTAAAATAAATCCTTACCTCTGTTATAGAATAGCTGTAGTACGCTCTCATTTTAAATAATATCTCTCATTTAAAATATTATTGAGACAGTAATTTAAAAAGTTACCCTAAGATGGCTATTTATGTTACATTTACACATATTGGTCTTGTTTTACTCTTGTCAGAGAATTGTGTGAAGTGTATTTTTAAAAGAACTCACTAAACGTGTTAATAAAATGTTCGGTAGATGGGCAGCATGATGGCGCAGTGGTGAGCATTGCTGTCTCACAGCACCTGGCCCTGGGTTAAATTTAGGACCTGAGCTGCTGTCTGCACGGAGTTAGTATGCTCCCCCTGTGTTGTGTGGGTTTCCTCCCACAGTCCAAAGAAACGCTGGTAGGTCAATTGGATTCTGGGAAAATTCTGTGAGTGTGTACGTGTCTGTGTTTGTGTCTGTTTGCCCTGTGATGGACTGGCGTCCCGTCCAGAGTGAACCCCGCCTTGCACCTGTTGCCTGCTGGGATCGATTCTGGCTCCCCTGTGGCACTAAATTGAACGAAGTGGTCAGAAAAAGGATGGATGGTCAGAAGATAGTAGGCAAGTGCTTTTAAAATCCTTTCATTCTATCAGGGCAGTCTCGGGCAGTAACAGGTGTGGTTTTGTGCAGTCGTCAGGACTAGGCGCGCGATTAAATGATGTCTGCCTGTCACAAAAATCATTGCTTCACATGTCTGTGTGTCTGAACTTTTCATGACCTAATTAAGACAGTGGTAGTAGTAGTAAGATCCTGCAGTGGAAAAACGTGAGCCTAAAAAAAAATTAAAAGCACTGCACTGAAATTCAGATACATAAAAGGCAAGCCTAATGGCAAAAAGAGAAAACAAGCAAATGATTGTTAATGGAAATAGACAATAATGTGTCTGAGGAAATTGAGCCTCTTTTTTCAGTTAAGTAATTTTATTTAAGAATTACTGCGGGGTTGCTAATTGCCTGATATAAGTATGCATTTAACCTCCATTTACTGGGATTTAGAATTGATTTTGAGTGTGATTGGAATTTCTTTGCTTACAAGGCGCAGAAGATTAAAAGCTCTTAGATGGCACTTTGTTGAATCTCCCTGTCAGGTTCCTGAAAGCCAGTGTTAATGAAAACGAACAATGTCTGCCTCTAACAAAAACACAGCTTAAACTAACATTAGCAGGAGCTTCAAATGAGTGTTTATTCTCACTCTGAAAACGGCTCTTTAACTGCACTTTAAAATGTATGAGGATCCCAAACATTTAAAACGATAACATTAATTTTTACTAAGTACTAATGTTATTGTTTTACGGGATGAGCAAATTAGCAATTACTTTCATATTTGTGTCTCTCTTCTTTCTCTGTATGGTTGAAAGCCAGTCCTTCAGTAAGTGAAACAAAATGAAACGAAATTCATGTTTGAGTTTCATTCAATGAGTTTATTCATGTTAGTCTAATTTAAGACTAATTTTAATGACTTGTTTTTATGAGAGGCCTAAAAATAACACCTCCCCTCCCCAGGTGTTCAAACACCTGATCCTTTGAGAAATATATGTAAACTGATTTCAGCAAATGTTTATGTACAGTAGGTGTTTATAATTTATCAATATTGCAAAATAACTTTGCCTAGTTCAACAAAATCCTCCTTTATTGTCTAGGACGAGCTTTGTGGCCTTGTCAAATCATAACTAAATGTTCACTGATGTTCACTTAAGCTCAATCAATCAAACCCATTTTTCTTTCAGCGTACAAGATACCTGCATGTTGCAAAGTTGTCAAATGGGTTTCATCCTGAGTAAACTGGGCTTTTTCAAGCAGTGTCCATTTTAGCTTTGAAGTAGGGAGTCAATCCCACTACATTTTCCACCCCAGTTCTGCCGGAGAAAAGACGCCAGTATATCACCCCATGGGCCCCAAAGGCCAGAAAGTGGCCTTAAAGAGACGTCACACATCCCATTCTGAGGCTAGCAGTCAGTTTCTGTTCCACAGCACTTTCTGGTGAAAGACCAGGAATGAGCTGAAAGCATGGGTTTTCAATTCCAGTTTGCAGATACTCTAGTATGCGCTGTATAGGATGCAGACACACAGGTCCCAAAGCAGGAATCACTGGGACTGGGGGACTGGTGGCTCTGTGGCTCAGGATCTGCGCCTGTGGCCGAAAGGTTACCAGTTCAAATCCCACGGCAGGCAGAGGAATTCTGATCAAGGCCCTTAACCCCAGCTGCTCCAGGGGTGCTGTATAAATGGCTGACCCTGCGCTCTGACCCCCAGCTTCTCTCCCTGTCTGTGTGTCTCATGGAGAGCAAGCTGGGGTATGCGAAAGGACAAATTCTCAATGCAAGAAACTGTACATGGCCCATAAAGTGATCCTATCCTGCTTTAAATCTTTACCAGTGTGCTAGACCGGAGAGGGGGGTCAGACTGCTCACCGCGTGGAGATGCCGAAGGTCACGTCCGGAGGGGCGCGCGGTCTCCGCAGTCGGGAGCCCTCTCTGGCCGGAGAGCGACGGGGGATGTCGTGTGTGGCGCGGTACTGGTAGTGCTCCTGCGCGGTCACCAGGCCCGATTTCACCGCCTCTCGGTTGAGTGCCACGAAGTCCTTGCCCATCTTCCGGGAGCTGGAGCCGGGCAGAGAGGTGGGTACAACCGTCACCCAGTGGGACATTGCTGCAAGGAACGGAGCACAGAGAAATGTTGGAGCCATCTGAGCGGCACACAGACTCAGAGTTTTTGAGTATCGTTCTTCAGACCTTACAACAATCTCTGCCCGTTCTGTTTTTACCTTTTCTATACCTGTTCTTAATTTTGATTTCCTCAAATACGTATTCTTCTCACTAAAATAATACAAACAAAACTTCTATTGTTCATATATGATTATAAAACACGTATTTCAAAAATTGTAAATATAGTGGGATGCGATAATATCAGTCTCTATCAGTGAGTTTTGAATAGTTGTGAAAGTTTTTCCAAACAAGTATGACTTCATTTCCCAGTTATTGCTTCTCTTTGACAAGACCAGTGCTTCCTAGGTCTCATTACTGCTGCTACCGGTTGGCGTTTTTATATTCTTGTCGCAATTATCATAATTCAAAAAAGACTAAAAAAAATAGATACCAGTTCGTTTTCTGGCCTCGCAAGAACAGAACACACCAGATCTGACTTGTTTTCCAGAGAGCTCGGTGTTTTTGTAACAAGAAAAAAAACAGCGGTTGATATCCTGAACTGACAGTTCATCACTTATTAGACTTTTCCAGGTAGCTCAGTATAGCTATATTTTGTCTTAGTTCAGAAAAACATCAGGAGTCAGCCTGGGTCGTCAATACACTCAGACACTTCAGTGAGCCCTGCAGCACTTAAATGGCAATCAGCATACCGGCTGCAGGTCTGGGGAAAGTTTAGCTTTTCAGAGACTCTCTCTCTGCTGCTGTAGGTTTGTTAGAAAAGCTCCAAAGTGCTGTAATTTCCAGTCTACTGCCTGCCTGGACTGCAGGTGTCATTAGTTATGCATATTGGATGTGACATCATGGCTGTCACGGTGTGATCTTTGCGCCCCCATGTCCTCTCAGCATAGCTCCAGCCTGGCCCTAAGGGTTTAAATATGCTTCTTGCTGGTGTCGCTGCTGTCTGAGCTGTGAGCGCCCTCTGCATCCTGGTAGACAAACAGAGACTGAAAGCCTCAACGATGGCACGGAAGACACTCTCGAAGTTGCTTTCTTTAGCACGCCTCTTCTGCTAATTACTGTAGCATGTCAGTGCATGACAGATCTGTCTAGGTTACAATTAAACGCTTGCACGTTTTACGTAACACAATGTACACAGACACGAATGCGGTGAGGTGTGTTGAGTCACATGGTCCGAGATGTGTGGATCTTAGTGCTTGAATAAAAAGGACTGCGAAATGTGGTTTCAACAGTTCAAAGCTGGGATGTACAGCATGGTATTCCAGTAGTTGCAAAAGCAGGAAAGGAAGGTTGTGTGGTGTAGTGATCAGAAATGCCAACCTTCTGGAACTCCTCCATCTCTGTTGGGGTTGATTCGCCCATACACAAAGTCTTGGCCTGGCAGTGAGAATCCTCTTGGACGGCTTCTTCCCAGCTCGCTCTAGAGAAAAATAACAAAACCATTTTAGAAAAACACTACCGCATAAAACTAACAATAGCGAAACATTTCATCTACTTCGAAGCGATCTGATTCAAATAGGAATTCCCATCATTTTCTTCAGTTTCATGTCAATTTTCCTTTCAAAACCAAACTATTTTATTTCATTTCTGCCTGTAAATTATTCTCAACTCATTTTGACACACATAGTACTGCACATCTTCACATATACACACAAATAACCAATGGTAGCTACTAGAAATCTCAGAGTATTGTTTTAAAAAAAGTCAAATTTCAAGATGTCTAAATGGGTTAATCTCTCAGCATAACAACTGTTTATTGACATTCATTTGTTTAGTGGAGAGAGTATGAGGAACAAACCAGCTACATTCTCAATTTAAATACATGAAAGCACTAATTCCCATTAAACATTAAATATGATGCTAAAATTATTTTTAATGAATGGCAGTTTATTAAATAAATATTAACACATTTCAAGACAATCACATATTTCTAGAGTGGTTTGTTTAACTCTATCCCTTAGTTTAGTAATTGTAACAATTGTAATTTATTTGTTTGAAAATGTTAACTGAAAATAGTCTGTCAAAACTGCTTGGCTGGTATGACGTTTGTATCAAGATTATAGTGTGATCGCCAGGATTAGTTCAGAGAGGGGGAAGGTGTTTCCTGATATGAAGAGTTTCATTTACTGTCTGATATAATTGAGTAAAACTGAAGGAGGAGGATTCCCAGCTACATGAATTACCACTGAATTACCATTCTGATCGAGGTTGAATTTTTTTTTTAAAAACTGCACAGTTTAAAAAGACAAAGCAGTAAGGAAAAAAAAACAATTCAAACAATAAAAATGACATATGAGAAGGAAGAATTCAGCATATTACATTACCTTAAGAGTGTACTTTTGATCTATAGTCCCTTTTAATGAAATTTGTAACACTGGGTACCGTATCAAGATGTCAGTCATGGTGCAGTGTGTAAGGCAATGGTTCTCTTAATGATGTATGATTTGCAGCAAGATGAAATGATTGTAGATGATACCCTGATTTGTTGGAAGGCAAGCCTTTATCTGGTTTAATGGAACAAGTAATAAATAAAGTATAGATATCCTTCAAGTCAAGTCTTGCTTTAGTAGTGCTTTTGATAATACATTGACACACATACAGTACATCTCTCAGTATCATGATACACACATTACATGGAAGATTCATTGACACATGGTTAGACATGATACCCCTGGTGACTTAAAGAGATCTATAGGAAATTTAACTCTAACGCTATTTTTTTTTTGGCTGTTTTAATATTGTACAAATTAAATTAGTATGCTCTGATATTATAAACAAAGCAGCATAACCACACAGATTTCCTTTTACAAAGTTCAGATGGGTTTCAAGCAGATGGCGATAACTCTAGTGGTGTCGAAGCTTTCACACTGTCGCCTGCAGAAGATCGCTGCAAGCCTTTTGATATCAGGTTTTAAGACGCGTTTTGTTGTCCTGAGCGTCTTTTTCCAGCTCTAATTGCTGGAGAAATTTTAATCTCGGGCGTATTGTGGCAGAGGGGAATGTTTAAAAGGGCACCAGGAAAAAACTGTGGGCTGCCAGTCAAAAGGCTCGTCCGCCTGCCTTTCCCGTTTGCCTTTGAGTTTCCATGAGGGATAAAAAGCCAGGGCAAGGAAAAAGCCATGGCGTACATACAAAGAAGAGATTATGTAAGCCAAAAAAAACCCTTTATATTCTCATTTACCGATTATCTGTTCTTTTATTGTGTCTTAATTAACCAGCCGTAGGCCTCCGCAGAAAAGAGGGGCCCTGAGACGAGAATAGGCTGTTTGAAGAGCGGTGCAGGAATGGTCAACAGGACACTGGAGGCCTCCTCGAGCTGGCTAAGAAGGGGAGGCCTGTAAATAATTCAGAGAGAATTACAAAGAGGCAGAAAATGAGGGGACATAATCATTCCCCGCATCATGATCTCCACGCTCACTTTATTTCTTCTTGTTCTATTTTCTGCGCCGTCTTGTGTACATTTCGGATTTTCGGAGTTGCTGGGATTAGTTGACCCCTGTGGTCCATCGCTGCAGCTCCCCAAACATCGCCCCCACCCCACACACACACACACACATCAGGTGGGAGTTCTGTCTTCGGAGCTTAGCGCATTTCTACTGGTTCCCAGGCGTGTCTCACTAGAGCCGTGCCCAACCCGACATAAGACTGTGCACCTCCACTTCGGAAGCCAGCCAGCAGGCATTTGTCATCTCTATAAACTATTTAACCACACTACAACCACTTACCGATAGAAAATAAAACAAAAAAAATCGGTGTGAATGGAAAACGGTGACGCCGTGACAGTTTCTGACAAGTCATATAAATTTCATTGAAAAAATGCCTTTTAAAATATGAAGGCCGTTTTAATATTGATTTTTTTCCCCCCAGAACCTTTGTAAAAAAAAAAAAAAACCAACAACTTATGACACCAATAAAAAAAAATCCATTGGAATCTTGTTTGCCGTACCCAACTTCTTTCATCATGACATTAATAGTAATGAGACGAATATCAAAACGATCCCTTGGTTACTGTTAGATAACAGACAATGGTTTCTGCTTTTCAGCACATGAAATGTGCTTAGCGGACTGCCTCAGTAACAGACAGGGCTTTCCCACAGGGATTTTGTCGTCTTTCCCAGAACTAGAACATTCACAGACAGACAAATGTATTTTTAATTCCATTACAGCACGCCGTTATTTTCGCCACGTGATGGTCTGCTCGTTTCTTGATTTTCCTGTTCACCTCGCCTCCCCCTGCTTCTAGAACTTGTCAGATGAAGTGATTGCCTAACCCCCTACCCCTACCAGTGGCACTCTGCTATTCTCATTTGCATTTACACGCCCTCGCTGTGCTGCTCCAGAGCTGCCGAGATTGATCTAGAGCGCGACTGCGTGTTTTATTGCTTGTCAGGCTCACCCGGGCGCCGGGCGCGCAGGAACACAAGTTGCATCTCAATAGCAGGAAGAGGAAAGAGGCAGAGGGCAGGCCAGGCGAAGGTGTGGCACTCGTGTGTACTTTCCCTTTCAGGACCACACTCCACGTATTAAAGCACATTGTAACCTGCTGCAGGAATGCTCGTTAAGTGTGTACTGAGTGTTTCTCTTAAATCATTTCTAAAACAGGCGTACAGTGCAAGCCAAAAAGCTGAAAATATGAGGGATAAAACACCTAAGGTGCCAAAGAGATCTGAAGGCCGCAAAGCTTAATACTACCGTTCACCTCTTTTTTTAACTGAACTGAAATTGTGTCTGAGGGAAAACTGCTGCTTTGCTAATGTGGCCTCGTGGTACATCTTTCACTTTTATTAACTGTTTATGAAACAGCTGGTTGAAGAGTTTCCTTGGATTTAAGGGATGAGAACCCCAAAAAGCAAAGAGCTCAAAGCACAAGGATTGTTTTTAAAGAAAAAGAAACCAGGGTAAAATGAAAAGAATGCAGACTTAATGCAGGAATTCCCAAATCCATAGCTTAGGATCTGGAATCCAGATAGTTTTCAGGGTCTCTTTAAATTGCCAGTAGCTTAAAGCCTCCGAAGTAAGGTAAATTTATCCAATGTAACCATACTTAGATGGTTTAACCAATCTTCTAGGTGCAAAACTCGTTATAATTTAAACATAATTATTTAAACATTCAAAACACGACTTTAGACTAAAATATTATGCAGTCATGGCATAGATATTCACAGGCATTAGAACCTCAACACCTCCAAAGACAGAGGTCTTTAATGTAAAAATGAACAGCAATGGAATAAAAATGTAAGTGATGTGCTGTTCAGTGAAGTGTTGCAAGCCTAGGCATCTTCCATTCAGAAGGCTTTGTAATGCTTGTGGATATTATTATGCAAAGCAGTGAGATGCTTAACAAAACGCTGATAATTAAACAAAAAATGTTTTGGGAAGTGTCACACTTCAGCACATGCATATGGGACTGAACACATGGTAAACCATATGCCATTGAACAGTAAACATCAGCTTGGGGAAGGATTCCTGCAGGAAAATAATTTGCCCATGAGGACTGGAAGATAATGTAGCTATGCAGGCAGCACAAGGAAACTGGGTGGAAGTCTAAAAAATTGTAGACAGAAGTCAGTGATGTAAAATATTGTAACTCAGTGAACCTGGCCACCTACATGTAGATAAAGTACAAGGACACTAAACCACTGAACTAAGCCAATGGGGTGCCATTTGGACAAAAAATGAGAGATCAGGGTTTACCAAGTAGAACTGTGGGACTAGGAATGTACCCTTTTGTGCAAAACCAAGGTTTTAGCCTACTGTTTAAAGCAAACACATTATGTAAGAGCAGGACTAGGGTTAAGCACTAAGAATGGAACACAGGCACAGCAGTGAAGCAGCGAATCTGTAGGCAGTAAAGTCACCTTTATTCTGCAAGCCCAGAGCTGGTGGAGCTAGAGGGGTACTATATCATCGTCTTGTTGTGTCTTAGACCTTGAGCTTAAGAACTGGATTTTCACATGAGAAGCCTTTTTAACCGACCAGGCTGTATCCTCCCCCTGTATAAATCCACCGTCTCCCTGAAGAAATGAAGTGTAATCCTCTTTTTAGGGAAATGAATGAGCGCTTAGCCGATACGCTGGCTCAGTCTGCAGGCAGCTTAAAAGGCGCTTGCTGCGCGATCCTTTTACACAAACTCTGGGATAAACACTCTGCAGAAGAATAATTAGAAGATAATGGGAAGTAATGCTCCCCGATCTGTCTGATTAATTATCTGCTGGCTCTGCAGCATAGCGCCATCTGGCGCCTGAGCAAGAGACAACAGTTTGACTGGCATCTCAGAGACGCGAAGCTTAAGGATAATCTTGTATAACTCTATCCACCAACAGCCCCAGCATGGTGCGTGTGTGTGTGCATGCCTCCGAGTGTGTGAGAGAGAAGGTGCTGTGTTGTGTTAGGGATAATGTGAATTTACTCTCCTTTACT